TAATTAAATCATCAACATAATTCGGTTCAGTCATTCAGTTCAATTCGCTAATTTTTCAAATTTGGCTACAGGAAAATATCGACTTCCGATAAAGAAAATTACTAAATTGAGACTTGCAAATATTAGATTTCCTGTAGAAACTGAAAGATGGGCCACGATAATTAAAGAGAAAAGAATTTGTAACCTTTGAAAAAACGGAATCTGGAATGAATTGATTATTTATTCCAATGTGCATTTCCACCACTTGAACAACTTCGAAAAAATATGTACCTAGTTACTATAGTACAAATCCAAATGAGATAAAAATGAAAAAATATGTTATCATTATGTCATGTTCCGACTATACAAGAATCTGTCCTTGTTCCTGAAAAAAAATCTCGAAGTATTTTTTAGAAAAATCATGTTTCAGATTGTGCTTTTACAGCACTCAATAATTTGTTGAAACATGATATCATATTTTCGATCTGGGTGTATGTTCTCTGTAATTTTAAAGTCTCGCCTGCCATCATTTATGTATATAATGTTTGCTTATTATCCTCATGATCCTCTTATACACTAAATGTGTCTGAGGTTAAATAAAGAATTTTGAACTTTGATAGATTTCGGGTTCATTCATCGATGTACATGTAAGATAGTGAGGATGATTCTTGGAAGATATTCTCATTCGGTGGTTTTGGAGACGTTGCGAATGAAAAGTAGATCTATGCAAAACGACTATAATGTTTCTGACTGGCAATGTTTTTATCAAAGTTGTACAAAAATCGAACATGTAAAAATGTTGTTTGTTTATAGTTGACACGTGTTTGGTTATTTATAGTAAGATCGGTTCGATTTTGATATTGAGTTCATGCACGAGTCGAGTGAATTCAGTTGTTTTCAAGTCATTCGAGCCATTGCAGTCAAAGTGTACAGTTGTATTTTGCCAAATAAATAATATAATAATTTATATCGTTTATTTTAGATTTGTAGACCACTAGTATGCGGAAAACAGTACCAGTGCTTAATTTCTGTGTATTTACACGAACTTTCCACATTATAATACTCATAATAAAATGAGCGCTTGTCTCTGCAAGTGGTGTCTCCCATGTGAGAGTTTCTGGTTATTTGATAAATATTTTATGTTCGTTTGAGTTAACGAATTCGAATTTAAGATTAAAAACACGCGCATTACGCAATTGGATTGAAAAGGCATAAACAAATAATTATAATTTTTGACAGAAGTTCTGTTTTGGAACCCATTTTCAACCCCTAAAACCGAACAAACGTTGTAAAAAAAGAAAATTGAAAGAGGCATAAAACCGACTTTTGAAAAGAATCTGAATACACTAACTTTAAAATCCTTAGCTTAGCGGTCAGACCATAGCCGTAAAAATAATTAATATTGAAATTATTTGGATAGATAACGCTCAGTCTTCTTGTTTTCATTCAGTTTGTTAGAAGTCTTGTCTAACCAAAAATATTCCCTCCGCCGCCTCCAATCAGCCAGCCTTCATTCCGCATGTGACGGGTACATCCGTCAGCTACGCAGCAATACCTCTGCACTGCCATTCATTGCATTTTTTATCACTGGTCAGTCTTTTAAATGACAATTTTTATCCCCCAAGTTCTATCAACTTACAACTCACATTTCATTACATTTGTAGTTATACTACAGTTGATAGGACAGGTCACGTCGAATTTCCTGTCAACCACTGTTTCGCAAGCATCCATAGTTCGCGCAAAACTAAACGCTTTACAACAGATCAGGATTCAGGGAATTCGACGGAGAAATATTTTCAAAATTAGCTAAAATATTTTCAAAAGTAGTTGAGATGATTTCCCAAGGGCAATACTATATTATTTTAATTTTTTTGGTAATAAATTTTATAATTGTTGTATATTTGTCAGTTTTTCTCTGTTGAAATTATTCGTTTTCAGTCAGACATTTTGTCTCTGTTATAGTACCACCAGCCACTTAATTACAGACAATGTATCTTTACTTGGTACAGGCCATTAAGGTCAATTACAAGTGCATACGAAGTTCAGACGATAATCAATGTGTTCTAAAATATGTCACAGTGTAATTTACAAATTACGGTATACCTTCTTGGAGAAACTGAGTGGTTATAAAAAGCGGACACAAGTGGACTCAAATCTATTTCCATATATTATTAAGAATTAAAGAAACAAAGGATACAGGCGGAAACAAATGGACACAAGGTTATTTCTATATAAAAATTATAGAGGCTACCAGGTTTATTTTTGTGGTTCAAAGAACAATGCCCCCTATTTGGGACATACAAAAAGGTGCAATAAAAATATTCTCACCTCTGTGAAGAGTATTATGATATTAACAAACCGCCCACAAAAAGTAGTAAAAATCATCCGAAAAGGGTCGCAATTACCGTCAAATAAGAAATCGCCAAGACAACTTCAATCATGTTGACTTTTCTATTTATAGATCTTGCTAGTGTTTTCTGCTTTTGAAGTTTCTATTTATTTTAGTTTTCAAGATAAAAGGCAAAAATGAAGATTTTCTCCATTTATAAGAGTTGCCAAGATAAAAACAGATGTGCATTTGACACCTATGTTCTATTGTAAGCCATGTCGACCATGTTGGTTGGAAAGCACTCAACTAGATACCCCAATGAATAGTTTGGTCAAGTTTGGTTAAATTTGGCCTAACAGTTTCAGAGATATTTTTTCTAAAATTAACAACGACACACACAGTGATGAGAATAAATAAATAAGGTAACTAAAGGGCACTCGTGTACTGTCAATGTCAAAACCATTTATGTGGACATTGACCTGTACTCGATGATCAATGAAACTGAACAAATTTCTAAGGATTAATTGGACTATAATCACCATCCAGAATGCAAGAAATGTAGTTTTTAAGCAATTCCAAGGCAGGTCTTTTGAAGGATAAATGTCAAAACCATATCAAATGGAAACTAGACGTGTGTTCATTTCAAAAGATGAGATCATGCAGTATTATCATAGAAAAGATGAAACCCATAATACAGGTGTAATACCACCAAATTATAGTACGTCACATCAGACGTCACATCCGGTTGCATATGAAGAAGGTTCGAAAAAAAATATCCCCTTGAATTTGCCAGTTGAAGGAAATTTATCAAACTTTTCATCGCAGTAAAAAAAAATCCGAGTCATAAACATAGCTTGGGTGTTTCAAAGCACCATTCTTTTTTTATTAGCTCACTTGGCCTTTTAGGCTAGGTGAGCTTTTCTCATCACTTGGCGTCCGTCGTCGTAACTTTTTACATTTTGAACTTCTAAGGATCATTAATTGGAATGAAACCAAACATTGCATGGATATTCCTTATGAGGTGCTGACCAAGTGTTGTTACTTTGTAGCTAATCCATCATCCAAGATGGCCGCCAGTGGGAAACTTCGTTTAACATAGGACCATATGGACAATACATACCCTTACTGCAAAATCAGCCTTCTGGCGAACTGTTGCGGCAGATCTTTGACATAAATTGTGTACCAATAATAACAAATTAACATGCACAAAATGTCTAAAATGACTTACAAAGAGATGATCAATGATGCATGGCCTGTTTCAGGAACTAATTGAATCATATATAACTCAGACATCTATCATATATAACATCCATTTACTTTTTACATAAAAACACCAACATTAAAACTTACCTCCTATTTCAAATTTAAAGAAGCAGGAAGTCTGATTTTAGTGCAGGGATCATGCTCAGTATGCTTTAAAGTTTGCGGCGAAGTTCCAGTAAGCTTTATGACTGCTTTAAAGTTTAAAGTTTGTTTACAAAGTTCCTTCAATTTTAAGAAAGTTAAGAGTTTGCGGCAAACTTGCGGCAAACTTTTACATTTGTTTGCCGAAAGGTCACTGCTAGCGGCGAACACTGGTGAACAACTTTCAGGTCTTCTAGCGAACTCAATAGATTGCCGCAAGTTTGCTGCAACCTTACCTCAAGGTTGCAGCAAAGTTTCTCTTTTCATAAGGGTACAAATGTTTTCTTTTAGAGAAACACTGAATGGAATGAAACCAAACATGACATGAATGTTCCTAATGAGGCGCTGACCAAGTGTTGTTACTTTGTAGCCAATCAACCATCCAAGATGGTTGCCAGCGGGGAACTTAGTTTAACAAAGGACCCTATGTGAAATACATACAAAAGTCTTCCTTTGAAGAACCACTGAATGTAATGAAACCAAACAAGGCATGAATGTTCCTTATGAGGTGCTGACCAAGTGTTGTTACTTTGTAGCAAATCCATCAACCAAGATGGCTGCAAATGGGGGACTTGCTACTTTGTTGCCGATTTACTGTTCAAGATGACCATGATTTTTGATTAAATTACGGGGCCAATATTAAACCAAACTTGGCCTCAATTATTATTAGGGTATCTGTTATGATTTTAATCTATTTTTACATGATTTCCACAAAGTAGAACCAGGTGAGCGACACAAGATCGTCAGAGCCTCTGGTTTGGTGTTTCTATAGAATATTTAGGAAACTTGAGGTTACATGGTTGCAAAAGCTTGTACACAGGAAAAAAGGGGAGAACATTTGATTAGTGAACTTCCAGTGATGGTAATCATCGTATATGCAATGACATTTTATTTGAAATTTGGTCTGTAGCCATACAGCTAGAAAGAATAAAACTTGACTAAAGCCAAGTGTTTCTTTATTTGGAACAAAGATAAATTTTTAGTCGAGTGCAAATTTAACAAAGACTAATGGGGGAAAACAATGGTAATATCACACCTCTAAAGGTAACTAAGACAAAATCGAACTTGACCTGCATATTATTGTTGTCCATGACATTAGAGAAATTGTAATTAATCAGAGTGGAAAGCATACTTGAGACAGGACAAAGGGATAGATGAACATGTGCATCACCATAGAAGGGGTTAATGAGCTGTAACATAGGTTTTGTTAAGGATTTGCAAATCCTTGGTTTCGTAAAAAAAATTAAACCTTTCCGAATATTTAGGCTTAAACAAAACAAATAATATATTCATATTGCCGATAACCTGGACATCGGATTTTATCTTTATTAAAGCAATAAACATGCACACAAGGATAAGCATAAATACATAAAGAAAATCGTAGCAATTATAATTGATGAAATGCTCTTGCATTGTATTTTATGTGAAATATCAAATAATGGCAAATATTCTATCATCAATGACCCCGCCGATATGGAACAACCAACTAAAATGAGTCAACACAGCGAATCGAATTTAAAACTGAAAAGGTAGTGGGGAAAAAAATTTAAAATTCCAATACCAATGCTAGGAAGATTGTCGAAGGAGGTAAATAAATTCTTATTATTCAAAAATAACTACTGGCTAGAAGTGTTGGCTTATAAATTATTTTTCAATGTTATTCTTTGAAACGTGTGGAAATTTAATTCTAATGCATTATGATAATAAATACCAAAATGACACTTTCTAACCCTATCGTAACTACTTTTATGCCACTGTAGTACATCATCATAGTATTAGATGAAGACAAATCTGCATCATGAGTAAGGTGTAATTAGAAAAATATTATTGTACAAAATACAAGAAAGTATTGTTCATTCATTTTAATTTCCTTGATACCAGATCTCAGTGGGTTTGTTATAAAAAAAACTTGATAACTGAAGATGTCCAGTACGGCCCTGCTTGCACCTTTCTGTGCGAGGCATACACAAATATTGATTGTAATACTAACAAACTCAATTCAATTAATTCATTGTTTTATGAATGTCTCATCTCTCGACAATCGATATTTATACATTGTAAAACAATACTAAATAAAATGAGCCATTCTATACAGAATTATAAGAGACTATTAAAATGCATAGATATAATATATTAAACAATATGAATAATAAAATTTTCATTATAAGTTTCAGCAACATAATATAAATGGTTTCTAAAATCTTCATAAAGAGGACATCTTAATAAAACACAAACAATATTTACATATTTCCCAGCTTAAATCCTTAGTGGAGCAACACCACATCTAAATTTGAGAAAAGCACTTCTGTGACTGAAATGCATTTTGACATTAAAGTTTAACAACATAATTAGTGTCCATAGGTGTTTTCAGGACACAATAAATGACTTCAGAGAAGGTTTTCCATACTAAAAAGTTCCAGTTTTCAACACACCTATGCTTAATACTCATTCTATCAGCCCACTAATGAACTTTTGCATTTATCCGACTTGAGCTCATGTTATTTAATCTACACCACAAACAAATAATACTTTTCCACTGCTTATCAAAAATAGGTGGTATTTACTACATACTCGTGCCAAATATAAACAACGCAAACATAATCTTAGTTTGCCGACAGCCAGTCATGCTCGATGGACGCCAGATTGTATTATAAATATTCACAAATTCAATAAATTGTTATAATTGCAATGCATATATAATTCAAAATCATACAATTCCTATGTATATATTATCCCATGGAAGTAAAATATAATACTTCCATGATTATCCTAACCACACCAAAACCAACTTTTGACTAAATGCACCCCTTCATAGACAGTCAGGGCCGGCCAGGAACAACTAGAGATAAAAAACGATATAATCGATCAAAAAGCTCTAGAAACCTGTGTCAGTGGATGCCAAGTGCGCAATCCTGTCTCCAGGGTCAGGTGCTCTGACCTACACCTTAACACATGTGTGTATTGGCAAATCAAAATGCAATACAAAAATAAACTTATCAATGTATATACATCAAAAATGCAAGGTGAGTGTTCAATCGTTTCACGACACCTAGAAAGTGACCCTATGCTTTATTACCAGAAAGTACACCCATTAGTCACTATAAGTGACCCTATTATATATTCATACGACCCGTGTCCGTCAATACAATATTTTCCCGCTATACAAAATGTGGGAAAATACAATTATACCCAAGTCTCCAGTAACTGCAGCATTTGGTGCATATTTTTCTACTTCTAGAAAAAATCTACAGGCCCCATTATGTATGGAATTAATACAAGAGTATGTCTTTACACCCCATATACCTTTTCATATTCTATTATAGGACAAACCAAATTTTCATATAATTTTACAAATACATCGAAACAAACACCACCTAAAAGTTTACACTTGGCTATTACCATCCCTAAAGCTCTATTTGCTGAAGATGCAACGGCTTTTATAGTGATATTATAGTCTAAATGATTGTTTAAAACGAGACCAAGATAAGTATCATTACTAGAAACTTAATAGTATGACCATTACAATTAAAAATTACAGCATATCTAGGTATAGATGGTGGTCTAAATTGTACAATGTTACTCTTGTTTGAATCAATTGTCATACAATTGTCTTCAAATCACGTAGAAAGGGCATTTAAGAAAAGTTGTAAGCTCTTTTTCATCGTTTGTTATAAAAACGTCATCAGCATATAATAAAATAGTTTTTCATCACCAATTTCTATTCCACAGTCAAAGGACTTAAGAAATGTTACTCAATCATTAATATACATGTTGAACAAAATGAGTGACAAGTGACATCCTTGTTTCAAGCCAGTGTTTACATCAAACCAGTCTGTGAAATTTATTCTTACAGAACATTTGTATAAATTGACTTATTAGCAGAACAAAAAGTTTGTGCAACACCAATTTTATTTAGTTTATACCATAAAATATCTCTTTGTAGTGTCGTAAGCCTTTTTAAAATCAATAAAGGCGCAAAAGATAGATTTAGGAAGTGTTTTTCTCACATCTATCAAATTAGTAAGAGTAGATAATTGGTCTATTGTACTACAAATTTGCCGTAAACCATTCTGCTCCTCAACCAGTACATTGTTATCATCTACCCACTGAGCTAATCTACAGTTCAGTATATTACAATACAATTTGTAAGACACTGATGCAAGGGCGATCCCTCTATAACAAAGGGGGTTCTCTGGCGTCTGACATGTTAGATTTAGGAATAGGATTTATAATACATCAATACTTTTAATAGGATATCAACAGGATCCATTCAACTATACTTAACGACACTTATCTAATTAAGTGGATTAACAATGTTAGCTATCAGTGATTTTGCAGATCCATTTAACCAAAAGTTTTAATGAAGCAGAAATTTATATTTGAAATTTTATTTTCACTTGTGCTTAAATTTAGAACATCAATTAAGTTTGTCCAAATTTCAATTTCCATCCATCAAACTGTGTCAAATACAATTTAATTTTGATACAGTAAATTTCCAAAATCGATTTAAAAATTATAAACTATAAAGTTTAAATATTATATATTCACAGTTCAAATGTTCATGCACTAATATTGTTTCTTTTTCAATGACAATATAAAATACCAAAGTATATCATTTCAGAATTACATTGACAGTTCCCTTTGAATGACAAAACCATATCCTGAAGACATAGAAACCACTGATTCCTCCATAGAAAAAAACAAAAAACACCTCAATAAGAACTACCTCAGTAACTCCGAAACCCACTATGTTAATGTTAGTGAAGATGATACCATGCAAGCAAAATGTACTTCTGAAATGATAATTTGATATTTGCTTAGTCCACAACAAAACTTTTAAGATATGCATTAAAGGGTGCATGAACTAAACCATAAGTTAAAGTCAATTTTGTTTGTGTTAATTTGAAATTGATTTTTTTTTAATTTTGAATTTAAATATATTTAACAAAACTGCATATACATTTTTGTGTTTATCGTACAAAAGCAATGATAGATATAACAGGAAAAAGTATTTCACCTGACTTGGTTACTCAAAAGATGATGCAAAAAGGAAAATACAGAATATTTACAGACTATTCTAATTTATTCATATGTAGATATGGTAACTTGTAAAATTTGAAGATAGTTTTCCTTTTAAGATCTTATTTAGAGCTGGCATTAATTACAACCAACAAATGATCTTTTTGCTATACAACTGAAGTTGCTGGCAAACCCAAACTATCTGATGTATATACATTTTGAACTTGAATTTCACACAATCTAAATAAAGTCATATTGTTCCAATTACTTGTTCACAAAAAATTCAGGTAAATAAGTAAATATCTAAATTGACAATCTACTTCCTTGAATATGAATATTGAAAAAGAGGTTTACAATACATTCTTAATTATGAATGGTATATCATTGTAGACATATTGAGGGCACTTGGCCAATTCTCATCTGATATTTTGAAGATTAGAGAAATTATAAACTATAAATCTATAAACTATAATATTATTTATCCTCTAAAGAATAAAACTGTCGCTTCACGATTCTCCATTTAATATCTTCTGCTGCCATGTTGCACCTTCTACTACTGATACATCATATAAGTTGCATCTGTAAAAAAAACAATCAATTCAGAAATTAATGTGATGCATGTTTTATGTCAAATCCTAAATTGGAGACTTAGTATATTTACAATTACTTAACTTATTACAGTAAATATTTGAATAAAAGAAATGTTAGACAAATTTGTAATAAAATTTTAAACGGTTGTTCAAGGGGAAAACTGATTTTTGTTACCTTCCACATATAAAAAGAGTTAAAAGTACAATTATAATGACCAAATACTTACATGATATGTATCTTCGTGTGCTATATACCATGAAAGCATCTTCATTGTCAAGGAGTGTAACATATTTAGTCCGTATCTGTAACAAAAACAAAAATTCTAAATCAGTATCAGCTTTAAATATAGAATATTGATTGTTGCAATTAATACAAAGTTAATATGATGCATTTTTTATGACAAATCCTAATTTGAAGACAAGTATATAAACAATTTCTATACATTATCATTAAAATAATCTTCATAAGAGTATAAATTTGAATAAAAGAAATTTTAAACCAATTTGTAATCAAATCTAATTTAAGCTGTTGTTCCAGGGAAAACTGATTTTTGTTACCTGGAAACCATATAAACATAGTTTAAAGTACAATTAAAAATACCAAATACCTACATGCTACGTATCCAGATGTGTAATCAATCTACCATGAAACCATCTTCATTGTCAAGGAGTGTAACATATTTAGGCTGTATCTGAAAATATCAAAATCCAGTTTAAAATGTCATTTCCAGTCTTAGATTATAGCTAACTGAGTGCGGATTCCAAAAATATATGGTTTCTATACACTTTTGTCCGAAATAAGGGAGATAATTTGTTACTTCCGGTTTGAAAAATATTACTTCTGGTATAATATGATAGGTTACTTGACATGGATTCCAAAAATATATGGTTCTATATACTTTTACATTAAATAAGTACAAAAAATAGCTACTTCAGGTTCACACAAGGTCACTTCTGGTTGACTTTTTCGAGGTCATATGGCTTGCAACCTAATGCAAGAAGTCCTATGGCTCTATCATTTATAAAAATAAAGTTAATGCTAAGGTCAAAATCTAGAACGTCAAATTTACCAATGACCTTGACCTATATTTGAAGGTCATAAAGTAAGGACCTCAAATCAAAAAATCATAGGTCTCTACTATATATGGTTAATGAGTAATATCACCATACAGCTAGTTTTAAATATGAGAGGGGAGAAAACTCCCATTTTATGTCAACGTAGGCGTTCAACCAAAAATCATGTGTTACGACATTTTGCATATAACAATTTTGTAAAAATATTTTGTCAATATCTTATACGGCCTCTGATAATGAGAAATAACAAGCCAAAATAAAAATTTAGAACATGACCTTGACCTTTGACCTTGACCTAAATTTTCTTTAAGTGGACCAAGGACCTCAAACCAAAACACCCTAGGTCTCTATCACTAATGGTTTACAAGTTACAAATACATAAGGGGGAATAACTCTCATATGGAGTCTTCGTAACGCTTCGATCAAAATGAAACGTAACATTCAGAGGATATAACGAGTAATTTGGAAAAATAAATTAGTTGGTTTCTTCTAAGGTTGCGAAGAATAAGAAATAACAAGAAAAACAAGTGTTCGGGAGATAACTCTTACATAGAAAAGTATTCCGTTAAGCGGTGTCAGTTTCAAAAGCGTATAAACTGTTTGATATCATATACCAAATATAAAAGCGACATCTTGCGAAACAACAAAACAGCGAAGGAAAAAAAAATAATAATCAGAACAAAAGCATTAGGAAAAGTGGAAAGACCTTATCAGCTTCAAATAGAGACTATTTACTGTTGCAATCAATTATAAATAAATGTCACTTATATTTTATGTCAAATCCTAAATTGGACTCAAGTATATTTACAATTGCTAGTATGCTACGCATTCATGTTAAAATTTACTTCAATAAGATTATTAATTTGAAAAAAAAAAATATGTACACTAATTTGAAACAAAATTTTATTTAAGCTGATGTTCCAGGGGAAACTGATATTTATTACCCAACACAGATAAACATAAGTCTAAAAGTACAATTGTAATGACTAAATACGTACATGTTAAACATCCTAATGAGCCATCTACCATGAAACCATCTACATTGTGTGGGAGTCGCACACATCTGGGCTGTATGTGTTACAAAAGAAAAAATTTAAATTAGCATCAGCTTCAGATAGAGAATATTTAATGGCTGTTGACAAAATTTAAATAAAATGCTCCGCTGGGGCGCAGCTTGATACGACCGCAGAGGTCGAACCCTGAACAGTTGGGGCAAGTATGGACACAACATTCAAGCTTGATACAGCACTGAATTTGGATTGTAATTAAATATTTGACACAGCATAGGTTTCTGACACAGAATGAAAGTGGTCTAAGAACTTAAAACTTTTTAATTTACCTATTCAAACCATATCATTATTATTTGCTTTTATACAAAATCAGAAATAACCAATTTAAAATGGTAAATTTTAAAGAAAAAAAAGGAAAAAAAAATCCCCCCCCCCCCCCCCGATTTTTTGAACCCCCTTATGATTCATCACCCCCAAACTCAATCCCAGCCTTCCCTTTGTGGTATGGTACCTTGCAGTACAATTTCAGAGAGATCCATACACTTGAACACAAGTTATTGTCTGGAAACTAGAAAAATGCTTGTTTTTTGGCCCCTTTTTTGGCCCCAAATTCCAAAACGTTTAGGGCAATTACCCCCAAACTCAAACCCACATTTCCCTTTGTGATATGGAACCTTGTAGTACAATTTCATAAAGATCCATACACTTACACACAAGTTATTGTCCTGAAACTAGAAAAATGCTTGTTTTTTGGCCCCAAATTCCAAAACGTTTAGGGCAATTACCCCCAAACTCAAACCCAGCTTTCCCTTTGTGATATGGAACCTTGTAGTACAATTTCATAAAGATCCATACACTTACACACAAGTTATTGTCCTGAAACTAGAAAAATGCTTGTTTTTTGGCCCTTTTATGGCCCCTAATTCCTAAAATTTTGAGGCAATTACCCCCAAAATCAATCCCAGCCTTCCCTTTGTGGTATGGTACCTTGCAGTACAATTTCAGAGAGATCCATACACTTCAACACAAGTTATTGTCTGGAAACTAGAAAAATGCTTGTTTTTTGGCCCCTTTTTTGGCCCCAAATTCCAAAACCTTTCGGGCAATTACCCCCAAACTCAAACCCAGCTTTCCCTTTGTGATATGGAACCTTGTAGTACAATTTCATAAAGATCCATACACTTACACACAAGTTTTCGTCCTGAAACTAGAAAAATGCTTGTTTTTTGGCCCTTTCATGGCCCATAATTCCTAAAATTTTGAGGCAATTACCCCCAAAATCAATCCCAGCCTTCCCTTTGTGTTATGGTACCTTGCAGTACAATTTCAGAGAGATCCATACACTTGAACACAAGTTATTGTCTGGAAATTAGAAAAATGCTTATTTTTGGCCCCTTATTCCTAAACTTTTTGGGCAATTACCCGCAAACTTAATTACAAATTTTCCTTTGTGATATGGAACCTTGCAGTACAATTTCATAAAGATCCATACACTTGAACACAAGTTATTGTCATGAAACTAGAAAAATGCTTGTTTTTTTTGCCCCTTTTTGGCACCTAATTCCTAAAATTTGGAGGCAATTACCCCCAAAATCAATCCCAGCATTCCCTTTGTGATATGGAACCTTGTGATACAATGTCAGAGAGATCCATACACTTACACACAAGTTATTGTCATGAAACTAGAAAAATGCTTGTTTTTTGCCCCTTTTTGGCCCATAATTCCTAAAATTTGGAGACAATTACCCCCCAAAATCAATTCCAGCATTCCCTTTGTGATATGGAACCTTGTGGTACAATGTCAGAGGGATCCATACACTTACACACAAGTTATGTCTGGAAGTTACAAAAATGCTTATTTTTGTGCCCTAATTCCTTAACTGTTGGTACCATAACCCCCAAAATCAATTCCCACCTTCCTTTTGTGGTATTGAACCTTATGGTAAAATTTCATTGAGATCCATTCACTTAAACTAAAGTTAGAGTGCAAAAACTAATGTGTCTTCGGACGACGCCAACGTCATACCAATTGCGGTCGTATAAAAATTAATGTGATTCACGTTTTATGTCAAATCTTAAATTACGGACAATTAATTTACAATTACTCTTTCATTCTTATTAAAATATACCACATTTGAAATTCGAATATAAGATATTTTAGACCAATTTGTAATAAAATTTTAAGCTATTGTTTCAGTGAAAACAGATTTTTATTGACTTCCAAATATTAACTTAGTTTTAAGTACAATTCTAATGACCAAATACTTACATGTTGACTCTTCCTATCTGCCATGAATCCATCTTCTCTGTCTAGGAGTGCAACATATTTAGGCTGTATCTTTAACAAAAACTATAACTTAATATCAGTTTTAGAGTCTATTTGCTGTTGCAATTTTTTCAGAATTTAATCTTTTGCATGTTGGACAAGAATATTTATAATTACTATACATTCCATTAAGAATATATTTCATTAAGAGTATAAATTTGAAGAAAATATTTTTAGACCAATACTTAATAAAGTTTCAAATTGGTTGATAATGAAATGGAGCCAGACAAAAAACTAAATACATTTTACCATAAACACAAGTTTTCATCATACTATGTAATCAGCTCTGTTGGGGGATCTGTTTTCATGAGATTAGCGCCCATTAAATTCATCAATGTTATATCAAAATCTAAAAGTTTGCTCTCTGCAGAGGTCTGCTTTTATGAGACCCATTTTAACATAAAGCATCTTTTTGTCAAACTGTTCAGGAAAAAAATGGATTTTTATTACCTAACAAACATAAACATAGTTTTAAGAAAAATTGTAATGACCAAATACCTACATGTGCAACATCCTAATGTGCTATCTACAATGACAGCATCTTTCATGGTATAGGAGTGTTACATATTTAGGCTGTATAATCTGTAACAAAAACAAAAATTATAAATTAAGTTTCCACTTTAAATCCAGACTTTTTGCTGTTGCAATCAATTTAGAAAATAATGTGATGCATGTTTTATTTTAAATCCCAAATTAATGAAAAGTATAAAAACAATTACTATACATTCTTATTAAAGTATTCAGCATTAGAGTATAAATTGGAATGAAAGAAATTTTAGCCCAATTTGTTATAAAGCTTCAATCTGTTGTTTCAGGAAAAAATAGATTTTTATTACCTAACAAATATAAATATAGTTTTAAGAAAAAATTGTAATGACCAAATACTTACATGTGACTTATCCTAATGTGCATTTGCAATGGAAGCATCTTTCATGGTATAGGAGTCTTGCATATTTAGGCTATCTGAAACGAAAACAAAAAAAATATACATTAATTTCAGCTTTTAATCCAGATTATTTGCTGTTGCAATCAATTCAGAAATTAATGTGATGCATGATTTATGTCAAATCTTTAATTGGAGACAAGAATTTTTACAAAACCAAGAGTTCCAAATGGTGAAGTTGAAATCATTACTTCGTGTTCCTTATGTCGTAACTACAATCCAATTCCCTTTTCACGAATGTGACATACCGAATTAAGACTATTTACCGGCTTTGTTATAACATGAGCAACACGACGGGTGCCACATGTGGAGCAGAATCTGCTTACCCTTCCGGAGCACCTGAGATCACCCCCAGTTTTAGGTGGGGTTCGTGTTGCTGTTGTACCCCTATTTGTGACATGTTTACCTATTGTGTCTGTTTGTTTTGTTCACACATCTCTGTTAATATAATGGAATTTGATGCGACTGTCATACAAGCCAGAGGTTTAGCTAGCTTTAAAACCAGGTTTAATCCACCATTTTCTACACAAGAAAATGCCTGTACCAAGTCAGGAATATGACAGTTGTTATCCATTCATTTGATGTGTTTGAGCTTTTCATTAGGGGCTTTCTGTTCTGAATTTTCCTTGGAGTTCAGTATTTTTGTGATTTTTCAAGCTGTTGTTCCAGGAAAAACTGATTTTTATTACCTAACAAATATAAACATAGTTTTAAGAACAATTTTAAGGAATAAATACCTACATGTGCAACATCCTAATGTGCTATCTACAATGACAGCATCTTTCATGGTATAGGAGTGTTACATATTTAGGCTGTATAATCTGTAACAAAAACAAAAATTATAAATTAAGTTTCCGCTTTAAATCCAGACTTTTTGCTGTTGCAATCAATTCAGAAATTAATGTGATGCATGTTTTATGTCAAATCCTAAATTGGAGACGTATATTAACAATACCTATACATTCTTATTAAAATATACTTCATTAGGATATAAATAAGAATAAAAGAAATTTTAAACCAACTTGTTATAAAGCTTCAATCTGTTGTTTCAGTGAAAACTGATTTTTAATGCCTAACAAATATAAACCTTGTTTAATGAAAAAAATTGTAATGAATAAATACTTACATGTAACTAATCCTAATGTGCTATCTACAATGAAACCATCTTCATTGTCGAAGAGTAACATATAATAGGCTGTATCTGTAAAAAAAAAAAAAAAAAAAAATGGTCAATTAGTATCACTTTTAAATAGGGAATATTTGCTAGTGCAATCAATTCAGAAATTAATGTGATGCATGTTTTATGTCAAATCCTAAATTGGAGACTTAGTATATTTACAATTACTTAACTTATTACAGTAAATATTTGAATAAAAGAAATGTTAGACAAATTTGTAATAAAATTTTAAACGGTTGTTCAAGGGGAAAACTGATTTTTGTTACCTTCCACATATAAAAAGAGTTAAAAGTACAATTATAATGACCAAATACTTACATGATATGTATCTTCGTGTGCTATATACCATGAAAGCATCTTCATTGTCAAGGAGTGTAACATATTTAGTCCGTATCTGTAACAAAAACAAAAATTCTAAATCAGTATCAGCTTTAAATATAGAATATTGATTGTTGCAATTAATACAAAGTTAATATGATGCATTTTTTATGACAAATCCTAATTTGAAGACAAGTATATAAACAATTTCTATACATTATCATTAAAATAATCTTCATAAGAGTATAAATTTGAATAAAAGAAATTTTAAACCAATTTGTAATCAAATCTAATTTAAGCTGTTGTTTCAGGGAAAACTGATTTTTGTTACCTGGAAACCATATAAACATAGTTTAAAGTACAATTAAAAATACCAAATACCTACATGCTACGTATCCAGATGTGTGATCAATCTACCATGAAACCATCTTCATTGTCAAGGAGTGTAACATATTTAGGCTGTATCTGAAAATATCAAAATCCAGTTTAAAATGTCATTTCCAGTCTTAGATTATAGCTAACTGAGTGCGGATTCCAAAAATATATGGTTTCTATACACTTTTGTCCGAAATAAGGGAGATAATTTGTTACTTCCGGTTTGAAAAATATTACTTCTCGTATAATATGATAGGTTACTTGACATGGATTCCAAAAATATATGGTTCTATATACTTTTACATTAAATAAGTACAAAAAATAGCTACTTCCGGTTCACACAAGGTCACTTCTGGTTGCCTTTTTCGAGGTCATATGGCTTGCAACCTAATGCAAGAAGTCCTATGGCTCTATCATTTATTAAAATAAAGTTAATGCTAAGGTCAAAATCTAGAACGTCAAATTTACAAATGACCTTGACCTATATTTCAAGGTCATAAAGTAAGGACCTCAAATCAAAAAATCATAGGTCTCTACTATATATGGTTAATGAGTAATATCACCATACAGCTAGTTTTAAATATGAGAGGGGAGAAAACTCCCATTTTATGTCAACGTACGCGTTCAACCAAAAATCATGTGTTACGACATTTTGCATATAACAATTTTGTAAAAATATTTTGTCAATATCTTATACGGCCTCTGATAATAAGAAATAACAAGCCAAAATAAAAATTTAGAACATGACCTTGACCTAAATTTTCTTTAGTGGACCAAGGACCTCAAACCAAAACACCCTAGGTCTCTATCACTAATGGTTTACAAGTTACAAATACATAAGGGGGAATAACTCTCATATGGAGTCTTCGTAACGCTTCGATCAAAATGAAACGTAACATTCAGAGGATATAACGAGTAATTTGGAAAAATAAATTAGTTGGTTTCTTCTAAGGTTGCGAAGAATAAGAAATAACAAGAAAAACAAGTGTTCGGGAGATAACTCTTACATAGAAAAGTATTCCGTTAAGCGGTGTCAGTTTCAAAAGCGTATAAACTGTTTGATATCATATACCAAATATAAAAGCGACATCTTGCGAAACAACCAAACAGCGAAGGAAAAAAAAATAATAATCAGAACAAAAGCATTAGGAAAAGTGGAAAGACCTTCTCAGCTTCAAATAGAGACTATTTACTGTTGCAATCAATTATAAATAAATGTCATTTATATTTTATGTCAAATCCTAAATTGGACTCAAGTATATTTACAATTGCTAGTATGCTACGCATTCATGTTAAAATTTACTTCAATAAGATTTTTAATTTGAAAAAAAAAAATATGTACACTAATTTGAAACAAAATTTTATTTAAGCTGTTGTTCCAGGGGAAACTGATATTTATTACCCAACACAGATAAACATAAGTCTAAAAGTACAATTGTAATGACTAAATACGTACATGTTAAACATCCTAATGTGCCATCTACCATGAAACCATCTACATTGTGTGGGAGTGGCACACATCTGGGCTGTATGTGTTACAAAAGAAAAAAATTAAATTAGCATCAGGTTCAGATAGAGAATATTTAATGGCTGTTGAAAAAATTTAAATGAAATGCTCCGCTGGGGCGCAGCTTGATACGACCGCAGAGGTCGAACCCTGAACAGTTGGGGCAAGTTTGGACACAACATTCAAGCTTGATACAGCACTGAATTTGGATTGTAATTAAATATTTGACACAGCATAGGTTTCTGACACAGAATGAAAGTGGTCTAAGAACTTAAAACTTTTTAATTTACCTATTCAAACCATATCATTATTATTTGCTTTTATACAAAATCAGAAATAACCAATTTAAAATGGTAAATTTTAAAGAAAAAAAAGGAAAAAAAAATCCCCCCCCCCCCGATTTTTTGAACCCCCTTATGATTCATCACCCCCAAACTCAATCCCAGCCTTCCCTTTGTGGTATGGTACCTTGCAGTACAATTTCAGAGAGATCCATACACTTGAACACAAGTTATTGTCTGGAAACTAGAAAAATGCTTGTTTTTTGGCCCCTTTTTTGGCCCCAAATTCCAAAACGTTTAGGGCAATTACCCCCAAACTCAAACCCAGCTTTCCCTTTGTGATATGGAACCTTGTAGTACAATTTCATAAAGATCCATACACTTACACACGTTATTGTCCTGAAACTGAAAAATGCTTGTTTTTTGGCCCCAAATTCCAAAACCTTTAGGGCAATTACCCCCAAACTCAAACCCAGCTTTCCCTTTGTGATATGGAACCTTGTAGTACAATTTCATAAAGATCCATACACTTACACACGTTATTGTCCTGAAACTGAAAAATGCTTGTTTTTTGGCCCCAAATTCCAAAACCTTTAGGGCAATTACCCCCAAACTCAAACCCATCTTTCCCTTTGTGATATGGAACCTTGTAGTACAATTCCATAAAGATCCATACACTTACACACAAGTTATTGTCCTGAAACTAGAAAAATGCTTGTTTTTTGGCCCTTTTATGGCCCCTAATTCCTTAAATTTTGAGGCAATTACCCCCAAAATCAATCCCAGCCTTCCCTTTGTGGTATGGTACCTTGCAGTACAATTTCAGAGAGATCCATACACTTGAACACAAGTTATTGTCTGGAAATTAGAAAAATGCTTATTTTTGGCCCATTATTCCTAAACTTTTTGGGCAATTACCCCCAAGCTCAATTACAAATTTCCCTTTGTGATATGGAACCTTGCAGTACAATTTCATAAAGATCCATACACTTGAACACAAGTTATTGTCATGAAACTAGAAAAATGCTTGTTTTTTTTCCCCTTTTTGGCCCCTAATTCCTAAAATTTGGAGGCAATTACCCCCAAAATCAATCCCAGCATTCCCTTTGTGATATGGAACCTTGTGATACAATGTCAGAGAGATCCATACACTTACACACAAGTTATTTTCATGAAACTAGAAAAATGCTTGTTTTTTGCCCCTTTTTGGCCACTAGTTCCTAAAATTTGGAGACAATTACCCCCCAAAATCAATCCCAGCATTCCCTTTGTGATATGGAACCTTGTGGTACAATGTCAGAGAGATCCATCCACTTCCACACAAGTTATGTCTGGAAGTTACAAAAATGCTTATTTTTGGCCCCTAATTCCTTAACTGTTGGTACCATAACCCCCAAAATCAATCCCCACCTTCCTTTTGTGGTATTGAACCTTATGGTAAAATTTCATTGAGATCCATTCACTTAAACTAAAGTTAGAGTGCAAAAACTAATGTGTCTTCGGACGACGCCAACGTCATACCAATATACGACCACAAAAATTTTTTTGCGGTCGTATAAAAATTAATGTGATTCACGTTTTATGTCAAATCTTAAATTACGGACAATTAATTTACAATTACTCTTTCATTCTTATTAAAATATACCACATTTGAAATTCGAATAAAAGATATTTTAGAAAAATTTGTAATAAAATTTTAAGCTATTGTTTCAGTGAAAACAGATTTTTATTGACTTCCAAATATTAACATAGTTTTAAGTACAATTCTAATGACCAAATACTTACATGTTGACTCTTCCTATCTGCCATGAATCCATCTTCTCTGTCTAGGAGTGCAACATATTTAGGCTGTATCTTTAACAAAAACTATAACTTAATATCAGTTTTAGAGTCTATTTGCTGTTGCAATTTTTTCAGAATTTAATCTTTTGCATGTTGGACAAGAATATTTATAATTACTATACATTCCATTAAGAATATATTTCATTAAGAGTATAAATTTGAAGAAAATATTTTTAGACCAATTTGTAATAAAGTTTCAAATTGGTTGATAATGAAATGGAGCCAGACAAAAAACTAAATACATTTTACCATAAACACAAGTTTTCATCATACTATGTAATCAGCTCTGTTGGGGGATCTGTTTTCACGAGATTAGCGCCCATTAAATTCATCAATGTTATATCAAAATCTAAAAGTTTGCTCTCTGCAGAGGTCTGCTTTTACGAGACCCATTTTAACATAAAGCATCTTCTTGTCAAACTGTTCAGGAAAAAAACGGATTTTTATTACCTAACAAACATAAACATAGTTTTAAGAAAAATTGTAATGACCAAATACCTACATGTGCAACATCCTAATGTGCTATCTACAATGACAGCATCTTTCATGGTATAGGAGTGTTACATATTTAGGCTGTATAATCTGTAACAAAAACAAAAATTATAAATTAAGTTTCCGCTTTAAATCCAGACTTTTTGCTGTTGCAATCAATTTAGAAAATAATGTGATGCATGTTTTATTTTAAATCCCAAATTAGAGAAAAGTATAAAAACAATTACTATACATTCTTATTAAAGTATTCAGCATTAGAGTATAAATTGGAATGAAAGAAATTTTAGCCCAATTTGTTATAAAGCTTCAATCTGTTGTTTCAGGAAAAAATAGATTTTTATTACCTAACAAATATAAATATAGTTTTAAGAAAAAATTGTAATGACCAAATACTTACATGTGACTTATCCTAATGTGCATCTGCAATGGAAGCATCTTTCATGGTATAAGAGTCTTACATATTTAGGCCATCTGAAACGAAAAAAAAAAAAAATATACATTAATTTCAGCTTTTAATCCAGACTATTTGCTGTTGCAATCAATTCAGAAATTAATGTGATGCATGTTTTATGTCAAATCTTTAATTGGAGACAAGAATTTTTACAAAACCAAGAGTTCCAAATGGTGAAGTTGAAATCATTACTTCGTGTTCCTTATGTCGTAACTACAATCCAAATCCCTTTTCACGAATGTGACATACCGAATTAAGACTATTTACCGGCTTTGTTATAACATGAGCAACATGACGGGTGCCACATGTGGAGCAGAATCTGCTAACCCTTCCGGAGCACCTGAGATCACCCCAGGTTTTGGTGGGGTTCGTGTTGCTGTTGTTCCCCTATTTGTGACATGTTTACCTATTGTGTCTGTTTGTTTTGTTCACACATCGCTGTTAATATAATGGAATTTGATGCGACTGTCATACAAGCCAGAGGTTTAGCTAGCTTTAAAACCAGGTTTAATCCACCATTTTCTACACAAGAAAATGCCTGTACCAAGTCAGGAATATGACAGTTGTTATCCATTCATTTGATGTGTTTGAGCTTTTCATTAGGGGCTTTCCGTTCTGAATTTTCCTTGGAGTTCAGTATTTTTGTGATTTTACTTTTTTCTTATTGATATATCTCATTACAGTGAATATTTCAATAAATGAAATGTAGGACCAATTTGTATTAAAAATTTCAAGCTGTTGTTCCAGGAAAAACTGATTTTTATTACCTAACAAATATAAACATAGTTTTAAGAACAATTTTTATGAATAAATACCTACATGTGACTAATCCTAATATGCTATCTGCAATGGAAGCATCTTTCATGGTATAGGAGTCTTACATATTTAGGCTGTATCTGTAACAAAAACAAATATTTGAAATTAGTTTCAGCTTCAAAATCAAAGCTATTTGCTGTTGCAATCAATTCAGAAATTAATGTGATGCATGTTTTATGTCAAATCCTAAATTGGAGACGTATATTTACAATACCTATACATTCTTATTAAAATATACTTCATTAGGATATAAATAAGAATAAAAGAAATTTTAAACCAATTTGTTATAAAGTTTCAATCTGTTGTTTCAGTGAAAACTGATTTTTAATGCCTAACAAATATAAACCTAGTTTAATGAAAAAAATTGTAATGAATAAATACTTACATGTAACTAATCCTAATGTGCTATCTACAATGAAACCATCTTCATTGTCGAAGAGTAACATATTTAGGCTGTATCTGTAAAAAAAACCAAAAAAAATGGCAATTAGTATCACTTTTAAATAGGGAATATTTGCTAGTGCAATCAATTCAGAAATTAATGTGATGCATGTTTTATGTCAAATCCTAAATTGGAGACTTAGTATATTTACAATTACTTAAGGTATTACAGTAAATATTTGAATAAAAGAAATGTTAGACAAATTTGTTATAAAATTTTAAACGGTTGTTCAAGGGGAAAACTGATTTTTGTTAACTTCCACATATAAAAAGAGTTAAAAGTACAATTATAATGACCAAATACTTACATGATATGTATCTTCGTGTGCTATATACCATGAAAGCATCTTCATTGTCAAGGAGTGTAACATATTTGGTCCGTATCTGTAACAAAAACAAAAATTCTAAATCAGTATCAGCTTTAAATATAGAATATTGATTGTTGCAATTAATACAAAGTTAATATGATGCATTTTTTATGACAAATCCTAATTTGAAGACTAGTATATAAACAATTTCTATACATTATCATTAAAATAATCTTCATAAGAGTATAAATTTGAATAAAAGAAATTTTAAACCAATTTGTAATCAAATCTAATTTAAGCTGTTGTTCCAGGGAAAACTGATTTTTGTTACCTGGAAACCATATAAACATAGTTTAAAGTACAATTAAAAATACCAAATACCTACATGCTACGTATCCAGATGTGTGATCAATCTACCATGAAACCATCTTCATTGTCTAGGAGTGTAACATATTTAGGCTGTATCTGAAAATATCAAAATCCAGTTTAAAATGTCATTTCCAGTCTTAGATTATAGCTAACTGAGTGCGGATTCCAAAAATATATGGTTTCTATACACTTTTGTCCGAAATAAGGGGATTAATTTGTTACTTCCGGGTTGAACAATATTACTTCTGGTATAATATGATAGGTTACTTGACATGGATTCCAAAAATATATGGTTCTATATACTTTTACATTAAATAAGTACAAAAAATAGCTACTTCCGGTTCACACAAGGTCACTTCTGGTTGGCTTTTTCAAGGTCATATGGCTTGCAACCTAATGCAAGAAGTCCTATGGCTCTATCATTTATAAAAATAAAGTTAATGCTAAGGTCAAAATCTAGAATGTCAAATTTACCAATGACCTTGACCTATATTTCAAGGTCATAAAGTAAGGACCTCAAATCAAAAAATCATAGGTCTCTACTATATATGGTTAATGAGTAATATCACCATACAGCTAGTTTTAAATATGAGAGGGGAGAAAACTCCCATTTTATGTCAACGTACGCATTCAGAGGTTATAACGAGTAATTTGGAAAAATAAATTAGTTGGTTTCTTCTAAGGTTGCGAAGAATAAGAAATAACAAGAAAAAACAGTGTTCGAGGAGATAACTCTTAAATAGAAAAGTATTCCATTAAGCGGTGTCAGTTTCAAAAGCTTATAAACTGTTTGATATCATATACCAAATATAAAAGCGACATCTTGCGAAACAACCAAACAGCGAAGGAAAAAAAAATAATAATCAGAACAAAAGCATTAGGAAAAGTGGAAAGACCTTATCAGCTTCAAATAGAGACTATTTACTGTTGCAATCAATTATAAATAAATGTCACTTATATTTTATGTCAAATCCTAAATTGGACTCAAGTATATTTACAATTGCTAGTATGCTACGCATTCATGTTAAAATTTACTTCAATAAGATTATTAATTTGAAAAAAAAAAAAATATGTACACTAATTTGAAACAAAATTTTATTTAAGCTGTTGTTCCAGGGGAAACTGATATTTATTACCCAACACAGATAAACATAAGTCTAAAAGTACAATTGTAATGACTAAATACTTACATGTTAAACATCCTAATGTGCCATCTACCATGAAACCATCTACATTGTGTGGGAGTGGAACACATCTGGGCTGTATGTGTTACAAAAGAAAAAATTTAAATTAGCATCAGCTTTAGATGGAGAATATTTAATGGCTGTTGAAAAAATTTAAATAAAATGCTCCGCTGGGGCGCAGCTTGATACGACCGCAGAGGTTGAACCCTGAACAGTTGGGGCAAGTATGGACACAACATTCAAGCTTGATACAGCACTGAATTTGGATTGTAATTAAATATTTGACACAGCATAGGTTTCTGACACAGAATGAAAGTGGTCCAAGAACTTAAAAATTTTTAATTTACCTATTCAAACCATATCATTATTATTTGCTTTTATACAAAATCAGAAATAACCAATTTAAAATGGTAAATTTTAAAGAAAAAAAAAATCCCCCCCCAATTTTTTGAACCCCCTTATGATTCATCACCCCCAAGCTCAATCCCAGCCTTCCCTTTGTGGTATGGTACCTTGCAGTACAATTTCAGAGAGATCCATACACTTGAACACAAGTTATTGTCTGGAAACTAGAAAAATGCTTGTTTTTTTGCCCCTTTTTTGGCCCCAAATTCCAAAACCTTTAGGGCAATTACCCCCAAACTCAAACCCAGCTTTCCCTTTGTGATATGGAACCTTGTTGTACAATTTCATAAAGATCCATACACTTACAAATTATTGTCCTGAAACTAGAAAAATGCTTGTTTTTTGGCCCTTTTATGGCCCCTAATTCCTAAAATTTGGAGGCAATTACCCCCAAAATCAATCCCAGCATTCCCTTTGTGATATGGAACCTTGTGATACAATGTCAGAGAGATCCATACACTTACGCACAAGTTATTTTCATGAAACTAGAAAAATGCTTGTTTTTTGCCCCTTTTTGGCCACTAATTCCTAAAATTTGGAGACAATTACCCCCCAAAATCAATCCCAGCATTCCCTTTGTGATATGGAACCTTGTTGTACAATGTCAGAGAGATCCTTACACTTCCACACAAGTTTATGTCTGGAAGTTACAAAAATGCTTATTTTTGGCCCCTAATTCCTTAACTGTTGGTACCATAACCCCCAAAATCAATCCCCACCTTCCTTTTGTGGTATTGAACCTTATGGTAAAATTTCATTGAGATCCATTCACTTTAACTAAAGTTAAGTGCAAAAACTAATGTGTCTTCGGACGACGCCAACGTCATACCAATATACGACCACAAAAATTTTTTTGCGGTCGTATAAAAATTAATGTGATTCACGTTTTATGTCAAATCTTAAATTACGGACAATTAATTTACAATTACTCTTTCATTCTTATTAAAATATACCACATTTGAAATTCGAATAAAAGATATTTTAGAAAAATTTGTAATAAAATTTTAAGCTATTGTTTCAGTGAAAACAGATTTTTATTGACTTCCAAATATTAACATAGTTTTAAGTACAATTCTAATGACCAAATACTTACATGTTGACTCTTCCTAATTGCCATGAATCCATCTTCTCTGTCTAGGAGTGCAACATATTTAGGCTGTATCTTTAACAAAAACTATAACTTAATATCAGTTTTAGAGTCTATTTGCTGTTGCAATTTTTTCAGAATTTAATCTTTTGCATGTTGGACAAGAATATTTATAATTACTATACATTCCATTAAGAATATATTTCATTAAGAGTATAAATTTGAAGAAAATATTTTTAGACCAATTTGTAATAAAGTTTCAAATTGGTTGATAATGAAATGGAGCCAGACAAAAAACTAAATACATTTTACCATAAACACAAGTTTTCATCATACTATGTAATCAGCTCTGTTGGGGGATCTGTTTTCACGAGATTAGCGCCCATTAAATTCATCAATGTTATATCAAAATCTAAAAGTTTGCTCTCTGCAGAGGTCTGCTTTTACGAGACCCATTTTAACATAAAGCATCTTCTTGTCAAACTGTTCAGGAAAAAAACGGGATTTTTATTACCTAACAAACATAAACATAGTTTTAAGAAAAATTGTAATGACCAAATACCTACATGTGCAACATCCTAATGTGCTATCTACAATGACAGCATCTTTCATGGTATAGGAGTGTTACATATTTAGGCTGTATAATCTGTAACAAAAACAAAAATTATAAATTAAGTTTCCGCTTTAAATCCAGACTTTTTGCTGTTGCAATCAATTTAGAAAATAATGTGATGCATGTTTTATTTTAAATCCCAAATTAGAGAAAAGTATAAAAACAATTACTATACATTCTTATTAAAGTATTCAGCATTAGAGTATAAATTGGAATGAAAGAAATTTTAGCCCAATTTGTTATAAAGCTTCAATCTGTTGTTTCAGGAAAAAAAAGATTTTTATTACCTAACAAATATAAATATAGTTTTAAGAAAAAATTGTAATGACCAAATACTTACATGTGACTTATCCTAATGTGCATTTGCAATGGAAGCATCTTTCATGGTATAGGAGTCTTACATATTTAGGCTATCTGAAACGAAAACAATAAAAATATACATTAATTTCAGCTTTTAATCCAGACTATTTGCTGTTGCAATCAATTCAGAAATTAATGTGATGCATGTTTTATGTCAAATCTTCAATTGGAGACAAGAATTTTTACAAAACCAAGAGTTCCAAATGGTGAAGTTGAAATCATTACTTCGTGTTCCTTATGTCGTAACTACAATCCAATTCCCTTTTCACGAATGTGACATACCGAATTAAGACTATTTACCGGCTTTGTTATAACATGAGCAACACGACGGGTGCCACATGTGGAGCAGAATCTGCTAACCCTTCCGGAGCACCTGAGATCACCCCAGTTTTTGGTGGGGTTCGTGTTGCTGTTGTACCCCTATTTGTGACATGTTTACCTATTGTGTCTGTTTGTTTTGTTCACACATCGCTGTTAATATAATGGAATTTGATGCGACTGTCATACAAGCCAGAGGTTTAGCTAGCTTTAAAACCAGGTTTAATCCACCATTTTCTACACAAGAAAATGCCTGTACCAAGTCAGGAATATGACAGTTGTTATCCATTCATTTGATGTGTTTGAGCTTTTCATTAGGGGCTTTCCGTTCTGAATTTTCCTTGGAGTTCAGTATTTTTGTGATTTTACTTTTTTCTTATTAAGACATATCTCATTACAGTGAATATTTCAATAAATGAAATGTAGGACCAATTTGTATTAAAAATTTCAAGCTGTTGTTCCAGGAAAAACTGATTTTTATTACCTAACAAATATAAACATAGTTTTAAGGACAATTTTAAGGAATAAATACCTACATGTGACTAATCCTAATATGTTATCTGCAATGGAAGCATCTTTCATGGTATAGGAGTCTTACATATTTAGGCTGTATCTGTAACAAAAACAAATATTTGAAATTATTTTCAGCTTCAAAATCAAAGCTATTTGCTGTTGCAATCAATTCAGAAATTAATGTGATGCATGTTTTATGTCAAATCCTAAATTGGAGACGTATATTTACAATACCTATACATTCTTATTAAAATATACTTTATTAGGATATAAATAAGAATAAAAGAAATTTTAAACCAACTTGTTATAAAGCTTCAATCTGTTGTTTCAGTGAAAACTGATTTTTAATGCCTAACAAATATAAACCTTGTTTAATGAAAAAAATTGTAATGAATAAATACTTACATGTAACTAATCCTAATGTGCTATCTACAATGAAACCATCTTCATTGTCGAAGAGTAACATATTTAGGCTCTATCTGTAAAAAAAAATAAAAAAATTGTCAATTAGTATCACTTTTAAATAGGGAATATTTGCTAGTGCAATCAATTCAGAAATTAATGTGATGCATGTTTTATGTCAAATCCTAAATTGGAGACTTAGTATATTTACAATTACTTAACTTATTACAGTAAATATTCGAATAAAAGAAATGTTAGACAAATTTGTAATAAAATTTTAAACGGTTGTTCAAGGGGAAAACTGATTTTTGTTACCTTCCACATATAAAAAGAGTTAAAAGTACAATTATAATGACCAAATACTTACATGATATGTATCTTCGTGTGCTATATACCATGAAAGCATCTTCATTGTCAAGGAGTGTAACATATTTAGTCCGTATCTGTAACAAAAACAAAAATTCTAAATCAGTATCAGCTTTAAATATAGAATATTGATTGTTGCAATTAATACAAAGTTAACATGATGCATTTTTTATGACAAATCCTAATTTGAAGACAAGTATATAAACAATTTCTATACATTATCATTAAAATAATCTTCATAAGAGTATAAATTTGAATAAAAGAAATTTTAAACCAATTTGTAATCAAATCTAATTTAAGCTGTTGTTCCAGGGAAAACTGATTTTTGTTACCTGGAAACCATATAAACATAGTTTAAAGTACAATTAAAAATACCAAATACCTACATGCTACGTATCCAGATGTGTGATCAATCTACCATGAAACCATCTTCATTGTCAAGGAGTGTAACATATTTAGGCTGTATCTGAAAATATCAAAATCGAGTTTAAAATGTCATTTCCAGTCTTAGATTATAGCTAACTGAGTGTGGATTCCAAAAATATATGGTTTCTATACACTTTTGTCCGAAATAAGGGAGATAATTTGTTACTTCCGGTTTGAAAAATATTACTTCTGGTATAATATGATAGGTTACTTGACATGGATTCCAAAAATATATGGTTCTATATACTTTTACATTAAATAAGTACAAAAAATAGCTACTTCCGGTTCACACAAGGTCACTTCTGGTTGCCTTTTTCGAGGTCATATGGCTTGCAACCTAATGCAAGAAGTCCTATGGCTCTATCATTTATAAAAAATAAAGTTAATGCTAAGGTCAAAATCTAGAACGTCAAATTTACCAATGACCTTGACCTATATTTCAAGGTCATAAAGTAAGGACCTCAAATCAAAAAATCATAGGTCTCTACTATATATGGTTAATGAGTAATATCACCTTACAGCTAGTTTTAAATATGAGAGGGGAGAAAACTCCCATTTTATGTCAATGTACGCGTTCAACCAAAAATCATGTGTTACGACATTTTGCATATAACAATTTTGTAAAAATATTTTGTCAATATCTTATACGGCCTCTGATAATAAGAAATAACAAGCCAAAATAAAAATTTAGAACATGACCTTGACCTTTGACCTTGACCTAAATTTTCTTTAAGTGGACCAAGGACCTCAAACCAAAACACCCTAGGTCTCTATCACTAATGGTTTACAAGTTACAAATACATAAGGGGGAATAACTCTCATATGGAGTCTTCGTAACGCTTCGATCAAAATGAAACGTAACATTCAGAGGATATAACGAGTAATTTGGAAAAATAAATTAGTTGGTTTCTTCTAAGGTTGCGAAGAATAAGAAATAACAAGAAAAACAAGTGTTCGGGAGATAACTCTTACATAGAAAAGTATTCCGTTAAGCAGTGTCAGTTTCAAAAGTGTATAAACTGTTTGATATCATATACCAAATATAAAAGCGACATCTTGCGAAACAACCAAACAGCGAAGGAAAAAAAAAATAATAATCAGAACAAAAGCATTAGGAAAAGTGGAAAGACCTTATCAGCTTCAAATAGAGACTATTTACTGTTGCAATCAATTATAAATAAATGTCACTTATATTTTATGTCAAATCCTAAATTGGACTCAAGTATATTTACAATTGCTAGTGTGCTACGCATTCATGTTAAAATTTACTTCAATAAGATTATTAATTTGAAAAAAAAAAAAATATGTACACTAATTTGAAACAAAATTTTATTTAAGCTGTTGTTCCAGGGGAAACTGATATTTATTACCCAACACAGATAAACATAAGTCTAAAAGTACAATTGTAATGACTAAATACTTACATGTTAAACATCCTAATGTGCCATCTACCATGAAACCATCTACATTGTGTGGGAGTGGAACACATCTGGGCTGTATGTGTTACAAAAGAAAAAATTTAAATTAGCATCAGCTTAAGATGGAGAATATTTAATGGCTGTTGAAAAAATTTAAATAAAATGCTCCGCTGGGGCGCAGCTTGATACGACCGCAGAGGTCGAACCCTGAACAGTTGGGGCAAGTATGGACACAACATTCAAGCTTGATACAGCACTGAATTTGGATTGTAATTAAATATTTGACACAGCATTGGTTTCTGACACACAATGAAAGCGGTCCAAGAACTTAAAATTTTTTAATTTACCTATTCAAACCATATCATTATTATTTGCTTTTATACAAAATCAGAAATAACCAATTTAAAATGGTAAATTTTAAAGAAAAAAAAGGAAAAAAAAATCCCCCCCCCCCCCAATTTTTTGAACCCCCTTATGATTCATCACCCCCAAACTCAATCCCAGCCTTCCCTTTGTGGTATGGTACCTTGCAGTACAATTTCAGAGAGATCCATACACTTCAACACAAGTTATTGTCTGGAAACTAGAAAAATGCTTGTTTTTTGGCCCCTTTTTTGGCCCCAAATTCCAAAACCTTTAGGGCAATTACCCCCAAACTCAAACCCAGCTTTCCCTTTGTGATATGGAACCTTGTAGTACAATTTCATAAAGATCCATACACTTACACACAAGTTATTGTCCTGAAACTAGAAAAATGCTTGTTTTTTGGCCCTTTTATGGCCCCTAATTCCTAAAATTTTGAGGCAATTACCCCCAAAATCAATCCCAGCCTTCCCTTTGTGTTATGGTACCTTGCAGTACAATTTCAGAGTGATCCATACACTTGAACACAAGTTATTGTCTGGAAATTAGAAAAATGCTTATTTTTGGCCCCTTATTCCTAAACTTTTTGGGCAATTACCCCCAAACTTAATTACAAATTTCCCTTTGTGATATGGAACCTTGCAGTACAATTTCATAAAGATCCATACACTTGAACACAAGTTATTGTCATGAAACTAGAAAAATGCTTGTTTTTTTGCCCCTTTTTGGCCCCTAATTCCTAAAATTTGGAGGCAATTACCCCCAAAATCAATCCCAGCATTCCCTTTGTGATATGGAACCTTGTGATACAATGTCAGAGATATCCATACACTTACACATAAGTTATTGTCAAACTAGAAAAATGCTTGTTTTTTGCCCCTTTTTGGCCCCTAATTCCTAAAATTTGGAGACAATTACCCCCCAAAATCAATCCCAGCATTCCCTTTGTAATATGGAACCTTGTGGTACAATGTCAGAGAGATCCATACACTTACACACAAGTTATGTCTGGAAGTTACAAAAATGCTTATTTTTGGCCCCTAATTCCTTAACTGTTGGTACCATAACCCCCAAAATCAATCCCCACCTTCCTTTTGTGGTATTGAACCTTATGGTAAAATTTCATTGAGATCCATTCACTTAAACTAAAGTTAGAGTGCAAAAACTAATGTGTCTTCGGACGACGCCAACGTCATACCAATATACGACCACAAAAATTTTTTTGCGGTCGTATAAAAATTAATGTGATTCACGTTTTATGTCAAATCTTAAATTACGGACAATTAATTTACAATTACTCTTTCATTCTTATTAAAATATACCACATTTGAAATTCGAATAAAAGATATTTTAGAAAAATTTGTAATAAAGTTTTAAGCTATTGTTTCAGTGAAAACAGATTTTTATTGACTTCCAAATATTAACATAGTTTTAAGTACAATTCTAATGACCAAATACTTACATGTTGACTCTTCCTAATTGCCATGAATCCATCTTCTCTGTCTAGGAGTGCAACATATTTAGGCTGTATCTTTAACAAAAACTATAACTTAATATCAGTTTTAGAGTCTATTTGCTGTTGCAATTTTTTCAGAATTTAATCTTTTGCATGTTGGACAAGAATATTTATAATTACTATACATTCCATTAAGAATATATTCATTAAGAGTATAAATTTGAAGAAAATATTTTTAGACCAATTTGTAATAAAGTTTCAAATTGGTTGATAATGAAATGGAGCCAGACAAAAAACTAAATACATTTTACCATAAACACAAGTTTTCATCATACTATGTAATCAGCTCTGTTGGGGGATCTGTTTTCACGAGATTAGCGCCCATTAAATTCATCAATGTTATATCAAAATCTAAAAGTTTGCTCTCTGCAGAGGTCTGCTTTTACGAGACCCATTTTAACATAAAGCATCTTCTTGTCAAACTGTTCAGGAAAAAAACGGGATTTTTATTACCTAACAAACATAAACATAGTTTTAAGAAAAATTGTAATGACCAAATACCTACATGTGCAACATCCTAATGTGCTATCTACAATGACAGCATCTTTCATGGTATAGGAGTGTTACATATTTAGGCTGTATAATCTGTAACAAAAACAAAAATTATAAATTAAGTTTCCGCTTTAAATCCAGACTTTTTGCTGTTGCAATCAATTTAGAAAATAATGTGATGCATGTTTTATTTTAAATCCCAAATTAGAGAAAAGTATAAAAACAATTACTATACATTCTTATTAAAGTATTCAGCATTAGAGTATAAATTGGAATGAAAGAAATTTTAGCCCAATTTGTTATAAAGCTTCAATCTGTTGTTTCAGGAAAAAAAAGATTTTTATTACCTAACAAATATAAATATAGTTTTAAGAAAAAATTGTAATGACCAAATACTTACATGTGACTTATCCTAATGTGCATTTGCAATGGAAGCATCTTTCATGGTATAGGAGTCTTACATATTTAGGCTATCTGAAACGAAAACAATAAAAATATACATTAATTTCAGCTTTTAATCCAGACTATTTGCTGTTGCAATCAATTCAGAAATTAATGTGATGCATGTTTTATGTCAAATCTTCAATTGGAGACAAGAATTTTTACAAAACCAAGAGTTCCAAATGGTGAAGTTGAAATCATTACTTCGTGTTCCTTATGTCGTAACTACAATCCAATTCCCTTTTCACGAATGTGACATACCGAATTAAGACTATTTACCGGCTTTGTTATAACATGAGCAACACGACGGGTGCCACATGTGGAGCAGAATCTGCTAACCCTTCCGGAGCACCTGAGATCACCCCAGTTTTTGGTGGGGTTCGTGTTGCTGTTGTACCCCTATTTGTGACATGTTTACCTATTGTGTCTGTTTGTTTTGTTCACACATCTCTGTTAATATAATGGAATTTGATGCAACTGTCATACAAGCCAGAGGTTTAGCTAGCTTTAAAACCAGGTTTAATCCACCATTTTCTACACAAGAAAATGCCTGTACCAAGTCAGGAATATGACAGTTGTTATCCATTCATTTGATGTGTTTGAGCTTTTCATTAGGGGCTTTCCGTTCTGAATTTTCCTTGGAGTTCAGTATTTTTGTGATTTTACTTTTTTCTTATTAAGATATATCTCATTACAGTGAATATTTCAATAAATGAAATGTAGGACCAATTTGTATTAAAAATTTCAAGCTGTTGTTCCAGGAAAAACTGATTTTTATTACCTAACAAATATAAACTTAGTTTTAAGGACAATTTTAAGGAATAAATACCTACATGTGACTAATCCTAATATGTTATCTGCAATGGAAGCATCTTCCATGGTATAGGAGTCTTACATATTTAGGCTGTATCTGTAACAAAAACAAATATTTGAAATTATTTTCAGCTTCAAAATCAAAGCTATTTGCTGTTGCAATCAATTCAGAAATTAATGTGATGCATGTTTTATGTCAAATCCTAAATTGGAGACGTATATTTACAATACCTATACATTCTTATTAAAATATACTTTATTAGGATATAAATAAGAATAAAAGAAATTTTAAACCAACTTGTTATAAAGCTTCAATCTGTTGTTTCAGTGAAAACTGATTTTTAATGCCTAACAAATATAAACCTTGTTTAATGAAAAAAATTGTAATGAATAAATACTTACATGTAACTAATCCTAATGTGCTATCTACAATCAAACCATCTTCATTGTCGAAGAGTAACATATTTAGGCTCTATCTGTAAAAAAAAATTAAAAAATTGTCAATTAGTATCACTTTTAAATAGGGAATATTTGCTAGTGCAATCAATTCAGAAATTAATGTGATGCATGTTTTATGTCAAATCCTAATTTGGAGACTACGTATATTTACAATTACTTAACGTATTACAGTAAATATTTGAATAAAAGAAATGTTAGACAAATTTGTAATAAAATTTTAAACGGTTGTTCAAGGGGAAAACTGATTTTTGTTACCTTCCACATATAAAAAGAGTTAAAAGTACAATTATAATGACCAAATACTTACATGATATGTATCTTCGTGTGCTATATACCATGAAAGCATCTTCATTGTCAAGGAGTGTAACATATTTAGTCCGTATCTGTAACAAAAACAAAAATTCTAAATCAGTATCAGCTTTAAATATAGAATATTGATTGTTGCAATTAATACAAAGTTAATATGATGCATTTTTTATGACAAATCCTAATTTGAAGACAAGTATATAAACAATTTCTATACATTATCATTAAAATAATCTTCATAAGAGTATAAATTTGAATAAAAGAAATTTTAAACCAATTTGTAATCAAATCTAATTTAAGCTGTTGTTCCAGGGAAAACTGATTTTTGTTACCTGGAAACCATATAAACATAGTTTAAAGTACAATTAAAAATACCAAATACCTACATGCTACGTATCCAGATGTGTGATCAATCTACCATGAAACCATCTTCATTGTCATGGAGTGTAACATATTTAGGCTGTATCTGAAAATATCAAAATCCAGTTTAAAATGTCATTTCCAGTCTTAGATTATAGCTAACTGAGTGCGGATTCCAAAAATATATGGTTTCTATACACTTTTGTCCGAAATAAGGGAGATAATTTGTTACTTCCGGTTTGAAAAATATTACTTCTGGTATAATATGATAGGTTACTTGACATGGATTCCAAAAATATATGGTTCTATATACTTTTACATTAAATAAGTACAAAAAATAGCTACTTCCGGTTCACACAAGGTCACTTCTGGTTGCCTTTTTCGAGGTCATATGGCTTGCAACCTAATGCAAGAAGTCCTATGGCTCTATCATTTATAAAAAATTCGTAAGGGTTCCACGGAACCCAGTGTCTCGCCTACTTTTAGCTGTTAATCACAAGCTCAGCAAAAATGAGGAAAAAAATTAATAAAAATATTCCTCTCTATACTATCTTTTGATTGTAAGTAGCTTCTGTCCAAGTTTGGTAAAAATCCAGGATAGTTTATGAATCTAATAAATGTTTTAAAAACTTAAACTGCAGACTGTATGTAATGTTAACTGGAAGAAAACTAAGTCCATTTATAAGTAAAATACGGAAAAAATGGAACAAAATTTCCTTCTAGATACTAGCTTTTGATCATAAACAAGCTTCTGTCTAAGTTTGGTACAAATCCAGGATAGTTTAAGAAAGTTGTTAAAATTTTAAAAACTTTAACCACAGAGTGAATGTAATGTTAACTGGCAGAAAAACTAAGTCCATTTAAAAGTAAAATACGGAAAAAATGGAATTTTTTTTTTACAAAATTTACTTCTGGATACTAGCTTTTAATCATAAACAAGCTTCTGTCCAAGTTTGGTACAAATCCAGGATAGTTTAAGAAAGTTGTTAAAATTTTAAAAACTTTAACCACAGAGTGAATGTAATGTTAACTGGCAGAAAAACTAAGTCCATTTAAAAGTAAAATACGGAAAAAATGGAATTTTTTTTTTACAAAATTTACTTCTGGATACTATCTTATGATCATAAACAAGCTTCTTTCCAAGTTTGGTAGAAATCCAGGATAGTTTAAGAAAGTTATTAAAATTTTAAAAACTTTAACCACAGAGTGAATGTAATGTTTCCTGGCAGAAAAACTAAGTCCATTTATAAGTAAAATACGGAAAAAATGGAATTTTTTTTTTACAAAATTTACTTTTGAATATTATCTTATGATCATAAACAAGCTTCTGTCCAAGTTTGGTAGAAATCCAGGATAGTTTAAGAAAGTTATTAAAATTTCAAAAACTTTAACCACAGAGTGAATATTTGTGGACGCCGCCGACGCCGCCGACGCCGACGGAATGTAGGATCGCTATGTCTCGCTTTTTCGACAAAAGTCGAAGGCTCGACAAAAATAAAGTTAATGCTAAGGTCAAAATCTAGAACGTCAAATTTACCAATGACCTTGACCTATATTTCAAAGTCATAAAATAAGGACCTCAAATCAAAAAATCATAGGTCTCTACTATATATGGTTAATGAGTAATATCACCATACAGCTAGTTTTAAATATGAGAGGGGAGAAAACTCCCATTTTATGTCAACGTACGCGTTCAACCAAAAATCATGTGTTACGACATTTTGCATTTAACAATTTTGTAAAAATATTTTGTCAATATCTTATACGGCCTCTGATAATAAGAAATAACAAGCCAAAATAAAAATTTAGAACATGACCTTGACCTTTGACCTTGACCTAAATTTTCTTTAAGTGGACCAAGGACCTCAAACTAAAACACCCTAGGTCTCTATCACTAATGGTTTACAAGTTACAAATACATAAGGGGGAATAACTCTCATATGGAGTCTTCGTAACGCTTCGATCAAAATGAAACGTAACATTCAGAGGATATAACGAGTAATTTGGAAAAATAAATTAGTTGGTTTCTTCTAAGGTTGCGAAGAATAAGAAATAACAAGAAAAACAAGTGTTCGGGAGATAACTCTTACATAGAAAAGTATTCCGTTAAGCGGTGTCAGTTTCAAAAGCGTATAAACTGTTTGATATCATATACCAAATATAAAAGCGACATCTTGCGAAACAACCAAACAGCGAAGGAAAAAAAAATAATAATCAGAACAAAAGCATTAGGAAAAGTGGAAAGACCTTATCAGCTTCAAATAGAGACTATTTACTGTTGCAATCAATTATAAATAAATGTCACTTATATTTTATGTCAAATCCTTAATTGGACTCAAGTATATTTACAATTGCTAGTATGCTACGCATTCATGTTAAAATTTACTTCAATAAGATTATTAATTTGAAAAAAAAAAAATATGTACACTAATTTGAAACAAAATTTTATTTAAGCTGTTGTTCCAGGGGAAACTGATATTTATTACCCAACACAGATAAACACAAGTCTAAAAGTACAATTGTAATGACTAAATACTTACATGTTAAACATCCTAATGTGCCATCTACCATGAAACCATCTACATTGTGTGGGAGTGGAACACATCTGGGCTGTGTGTGTTACAAAAGAAAAAATTTAAATTAGCATCAGCTTTAGATGGAGAATATTTAATGGCTGTTGAAAAAATTTAAATAAAATGCTCCGCTGGGGCGAAGCTTGATACGACCGCAGAGGACGAACCCTGAACAGTTGGGGCAAGTATGGACACAACATTCAAGCTTGATACAGCACTGAATTTGGATTGTAATTAAATATTTGACACAGCATAGGTTTCTGACACAGAATGAAAGTGGTCCAAGAACTTAAAATTTTTTAATTTACCTATTCAAACCATATCATTATTATTTGCTTTTATACAAAATCAGAAATAACCAATTTAAAATGGTAAATTTTAAAGAAAAAAAAAATCCTCCCCCAATTTTTTGAACCCCCTTATGATTCATCACCCCCAAACTCAATCCCAGCCTTCCCTTTGTGGTATGGTACCTTGCAGTACAATTTCAGAGAGATCCATACACTTGAACACAAGTTATTGTCTGGAAACTAGAAAAATGCTTGTTTTATGGCCCCTTATTCCAAAACCTTAAGGGCAATTACCCCCAAACTCAAACCCAGCTTTCCCTTTGTGATATGGAACCTTGTAGTACAATTTCATAAAGATCCATACACTTACACACAAGTTATTGTCCTGAAACTAGAAAAATGCTTGTTTTTTGGCCCTTTTATGGCCCCTAATTCCTAAAATTTGGAGGCAATTACCCCCAAAATCAATCCCAGCCTTCCCTTTGTGTTATGGTACCTTGCAGTACAATTTCAGAGAGATCCATACACTTGAACACAAGTTATTGTCATGAAACTAGAAAAATGCTTGATTTTTTGCCCCTTTTTGGCCCCTAATTCCTAAAATTTGGAGGCAATTACCCCCAAAATCAATCCCAGCCTTCCCTTTGTGATATGGAACCTTGTGATACAATGTCAGAGAGATCCATACACTTACACATAAGTTATTGTCATGAAACTAGAAAAATGCTTGTTTTTTGCCCCTTTTTGGCCACTAATTCCTAAAATTTGGAGACAATTACCCCCCAAAATCAATCCCAGCATTCCCTTTGTGATATGGAACCTTGTGGTACAATGTCAGAGAGATCCATACACTTACACACAAGTTATGTCTGGAAGTTACAAAAATGCTTATTTTTGGCCCCTAATTCCTTAACTGTTGGTACCATAACCCCCAAAATCAATCCCCACCTTCCTTTTGTGGTATTGAACCTTATGGTAAAATTTCATTGAGATCCATTCACTTAAACTAAAGTTAGAGTGAAAAAACTAATGTGTCTTCGGACGACGCCAACGTCATACCAATATACGACCACAAAAATTTGTTTGCGGTTGTATAAAAATTAATGTGATTCACGTTTCATGTCAAATCTTAAATTACGGACAATTAATTTACAATTACTCTTTCATTCTTATTAAAATATACCACATTTGAAATTCGAATAAAAGATATTTTAGACCAATTTGTAATAAAATTTTAAGATTTTGTTTCAGTGAAAACAGATTTTTATTGACTTCCAAATATTAACATAGTTTTAAGTACAATTCTAATGACCAAATACTTACATGTTGACTCTTCCTATCTGCCATGAATCCATCTTCTCTGTCTAGGAGTGCAACATATTTAGGCTGTATCTTTAACAAAAACTATAACTTAATATCAGTTTTAGAGTCTATTTGCTGTTGCAATTTTTTTCAGAATTTAATCTTTTGCATGTTGGACAAGAATATTTATAATTACTATACATTCCATTAAGAATATATTTCATTAAGAGTATAAATTTGAAGAAAATATTTTTAGACCAATTTGTAATAAAGTTTCAAATTGGTTGATAATGAAATGGAGCCAGACAAAAAACTAAATACATTTTACCATAAACACAAGTTTTCATCATACTATGTAATCAGCTCTGTTGGGGGATCTGTTTTCACGAGATTAGCGCCCATTAAATTCATCAATGTTATATCAAAATCTAAAAGTTTGCTCTCTGCAGAGGTCTGCTTTTACGAGACCCATTTTAACATAAAGCATCTTTTTGTCAAACTGTTCAGGAAAAAAACGGATTTTTATTACCTAACAAACATAAACATAGTTTTAAGAAAAATTGTAATGACCAAATACCTACATGTGCAACATCCTAATGTGCTATCTACAATGACAGCATCTTTCATGGTATAGGAGTGTTACATATTTAGGCTGTATAATCTGTAACAAAAACAAAAATTATAAATTAAGTTTCCGCTTTAAATCCAGACTTTTTGCTGTTGCAATCAATTTAGAAAATAATGTGATGCATGTTTTATTTTAAATCCCAAATTAGAGAAAAGTATAAAAACAATTACTATACATTGTTATTAAAGTATTCAGCATTAGAGTATAAATTGGAATGAAAGAAATTTTAGCCCAATTTGTTATAAAGCTTCAATGTGTTGTTTCAGGAAAAAATAGATTTTTATTACCTAACAAATATAAATATAGTTTTAAGAAAAAATTGTAATGACCAAATACTTACATGTGACTTATCCTAATGTGCATCTGCAATGGAAGCATCTTTCATGGTATAGGAGTCTTACATATTTAGGCTATCTGAAACGAAAACAAAAAAAAATATACATTAATTTCAGACTATTTGCTGTTGCAATCAATTCAGAAATTAATGTGATGCATGTTTTATGTCAAATCTTCAATTGGAGACAAGAATTTTTACAAAACCAAGAGTTCCAAATGGTGAAGTTGAAATCATTACTTCGTGTTCCTTATGTCGTAACTACAATCCAATTCCCTTTTCACGAATGTGACATACCGAATTAAGACTATTTACCGGCTTTGTTATAACATGAGCAACACGACGGGTGCCACATGTGGAGCAGAATCTGCTAACCCTTCCAGAGCACCTGAGATCACCCCAGTTTTTGGTGGGGTTCGTGTTGCTGTTGTACCCCTATTTGTGACATGTTTACCTATTGTGTCTGTTTGTTTTGTTCACACATCTCTGTTAATATAATGGAATTTGATGCGACTGTCATACAAGCCAGAGGTTTAGCTAGCTTTAAAACCAGGTTTAATCCACCATTTTCTACACAAGAAAATGCCTGTACCAAGTCAGGAATATGACAGTTGTTATCCATTCATTTGATGTGTTTGAGCTTTTCATTAGGGGCTTTCCGTTCTGAATTTTCCTTGGAGTTCAGTATTTTTGTGATTTTACTTTTTTCTTATTAAGATATATCTCATTACAGTGAATATTTCAATAAATGAAATGTAGGACCAATTTGTATTAAAAATTTCAAGCTGTTGTTCCAGGAAAAACTGATTTTTATTACCTAACAAATATAAACTTAGTTTTAAGGACAATTTTAAGGAATAAATACCTACATGTGACTAATCCTAATATGTTATCTGCAATGGAAGCATCTTTCATGGTATAGGAGTCTTACATATTTAGGCTGTATCTGTAACAAAAACAAATATTTGAAATTATTTTCAGCTTCAAAATCAAAGCTATTTGCTGTTGCAATCAATTCAGAAATTAATGTGATGCATGTTTTATGTCAAATCCTAAATTGGAGACGTATATTTACAATACCTATACATTCTTATTAAAATATACTTTATTAGGATATAAATAAGAATAAAAGAAATTTTAAACCAACTTGTTATAAAGCTTCAATCTGTTGTTTCAGTGAAAACTGATTTTTAATGCCTAACAAATATAAACCTTGTTTAATGAAAAAAATTGTAATGAATAAATACTTACATGTAACTAATCCTAATGTGCTATCTACAATGAAACCATCTTCATTGTCGAAGAGTAACATATTTAGGCTCTATCTGTAAAAAAAAATAAAAAAATTGTCAATTAGTATCACTTTTAAATAGGGAATATTTGCTAGTGCAATCAATTCAGAAATTAATGTGATGCATGTTTTATGTCAAATCCTAAATTGGAGACCTAGTATATTTACAATTACTTAACGTATTACAGTAAATATTTGAATAAAAGAAATGTTAGACAAATTTGTAATAAAATTTTAAACGGTTGTTCAAGGGGAAAACTGATTTTTGTTACCTTCCACATATAAAAAGAGTTAAAAGTACAATTATAATGACCAAATACTTACATGATATGTATCTTCGTGTGCTATATACCATGAAAGCATCTTCATTGTCAAGGAGTGTAACATATTTAGTCCGTATCTGTAACAAAAACAAAAATTCTAAATCAGTATCAGCTTTAAATATAGAATATTGATTGTTGCAATTAATACAAAGTTAATATGATGCATTTTTTATGACAAATCCTAATTTGAAGACAAGTATATAAACAATTTCTATACATTATCATTAAAATAATCTTCATAAGAGTATAAATTTGAATAAAAGAAATTTTAAACCAATTTGTAATCAAATCTAATTTAAGCTGTTGTTCCAGGGAAAACTGATTTTTGTTACCTGGAAACCATATAAACATAGTTTAAAGTACAATTAAAAATACCAAATACCTACATGCTACGTATCCAGATGTGTGATCAATCTACCATGAAACCATCTTCATTGTCAAGGAGTGTAACATATTTAGGCTGTATCTGAAAATATCAAAATCCAGTTTAAAATGTCATTTCCAGTCTTAGATTATAGCTAACTGAGTGCGGATTCCAAAAATATATGGTTTCTATACACTTTTGTCCGAAATAAGGGAGATAATTTGTTACTTCCGGTTTGAAAAATATTACTTCTGGTATAATATGATAGGTTACTTGACATGGATTCCAAAAATATATGGTTCTATATACTTTTACATTAAATAAGTACAAAAAATAGCTACTTCCGGTTCACACAAGGTCACTTCTGGTTGCCTTTTTCGAGGTCATATGGCTTGCAACCTAATGCAAGAAGTCCTATGGCTCTATCATTTATAAAAAATAAAGTTAATGCTAAGGTCAAAATCTAGAACGTCAAATTTACCAATGACCTTGACCTATATTTCAAGGTCATAAAATAAGGACCTCAAATCAAAAAATCATAGGTCTCTACTATATATGGTTAATGAGTAATATCACCATACAGCTAGTTTTAAATATGAGAGGGGAGAAAACTCCCATTTTATGTCAACGTACGCGTTCAACCAAAAATCATGTGTTACGACATTTTGCATATAACAATTTTGTAAAAATATTTTGTCAATATCTTATACGGCCTCTGATAATAAGAAATAACAAGCCAAAATAAAAATTTAGAACATGACCTTGACCTTTGACCTTGACCTAAATTTTCTTTAAGTGGACCAAGGACCTCAAACCAAAACACCCTAGGTCTCTATCACTAATGGTTTACAAGTTACAAATACATAAGGGGGAATAACTCTCATATGGAGTCTTCGTAACGCTTCGATCAAAATGAAACGTAACATTCAGAGGATATAACGAGTAATTTGGAAAAATAAATTAGTTGGTTTCTTCTAAGGTTGCGAAGAATAAGAAATAACAAGAAAAACAAGTGTTCGGGAGATAACTCTTACATAGAAAAGTATTCCGTTAAGCGGTGTCAGTTTCAAAAGCGTATAAACTGTTTGATATCATATACCAAATATAAAAGCGACATCTTGCGAAACAACCAAACAGCGAAGGAAAAAAAAATAATAATCAGAACAAAAGCATTAGGAAAAGTGGAAAGACCTTATCAGCTTCAAATAGAGACTATTTACTGTTGCAATCAATTATAAATAAATGTCACTTATATTTTATGTCAAATCCTAAATTGGACTCAAGTATATTTACAATTGCTAGTATGCTACGCATTCATGTTAAAATTTACTTCAATAAGATTATTAATTTGAAAAAAAAAAAAATATGTACACTAATTTGAAACAAAATTTTATTTAAGCTGTTGTTCCAGGGGAAACTGATATTTATTACCCAACACAGATAAACATAAGTCTAAAAGTACAATTGTAATGACTAAATACTTACATGTTAAACATCCTAATGTGCCATCTACCATGAAACCATCTACATTGTGTGGGAGTGGAACACATCTGGGCTGTATGTGTTACAAAAGAAAAAATTTAAATTAGCATCAGCTTTAGATGGAGAATATTTAATGGCTGTTGAAAAAATTTAAATAAAATGCTCTGCTGGGGCGCAGCTTGATACGACCGCAGAGGTCGAACCCTGAACAGTTGGGGCAAGTATGGACACAACATTCAAGCTTGATACAGCACTGAATTTGGATTGTAATTAAATATTTGACACAGCATAGGTTTCTGACACAGAATGAAAGTGGTCCAAGAACTTAAAAATTTTTAATTTACCTATTCAAACCATATCATTATTATTTGCTTTTATACAAAATCAGAAATAACCAATTTAAAATGGTAAATTTTAAAGAAAAAAAATGAAAAAAAAATCCTCCCCCAATTTTTTGAACCCCCTTATGATTCATCACCCCCAAACTCAATCCCAGCCTTCCCTTTGTGGTATGGTACCTTGCAGTACAATTTCAGAGAGATCCATACACTTCAACACAAGTTATTGTCTAGAAAAATGCTTGTTTTTTGGCCCCTTTTTTGGCCCCAAATTCCAAAACCTAAAGGGCAATTACCCCCAAACTCAAACCCAGCTTTCCCTTTGTGATATGGAACCTTGTAGTACAATTTCATAAAGATCCATACACTTACACACAAGATATTGTCCTGAAACTAGAAAAATGCTTGTTTTTTGGCCCTTTTATGGCCCCTAATTCCTAAAATTTGGAGGCAATTACCCCCAAAATCAATCCCAGCCTTCCCTTTGTGTTATGGTACCTTGCAGTACAATTTCAGAGAGATCCATACACTTGAAAACGAGTTATTGTCTGGAAACTAAAAAAAATGCTTGTTTTTTTGCCCCTTTTTGGCCCCAAATTCCTAAACGTTTACGGCAATTACCCCCAAACTCAAACCCAGCTTTCCCTTTGTGATATGGAACCTTGCAGTACAATTTCATAAAGATCCATACACTTACAAGTTATTGTCCTGAAACTAGAAAAATGCTTGTTTTATGGCCCCTTATTCCAAAACCTTAAGGGCAATTACATCCAAACTCAAACCCAGCTTTCCTTTTGTGATATGGAACCTTGTAGTACAATTTCATAAAGATCCATACACTTACACACAAGTTATTGTCCTGAAACTAGAAAAATGCTTGTTTTTTGGCCCTTTTATGGCCCCTAATTCCTAAAATTTGGAGGCAATTACCCCCAAAATTAATCCCAGCCTTCCCTTTGTGTTATGGTACCTTGCAGTACAATTTCAGAGAGATCCATACACTTGAACACAAGTTATTGTCATGAAACTAGAAAAATGCTTGATTTTTTGCCCCTTTTTGGCCCCTAATTCCTAAAATTTGGAGGCAATTACCCCCAAAATCAATCCCAGCATTCCCTTTGTGATATGGAACCTTGTGATACAATGTCAGAGAGATCCATACACTTACACATAAGTTATTGTCATGAAACTAGAAAAATGCTTGTTTTTTGCCCCTTTTTGGCCACTAATTCCTAAAATTTGGAGACAATTACCCCCCCAAAATCAATCCCAGCATTCCCTTTGTGATATGGAACCTTGTGGTACAATGACAGAGAGATCTATACACTTACACACAAGTTATGTCTGGAAGTTACAAAAATGCTTATTTTTGGCCCCTAATTCCTTAACTGTTGGTACCATAACCCCCAAAATCAATCCCCACCTTCCTTTTGTGGTATTGAACCTTATGGTAAAATTTCATTGAGATCCATTCACTTAAACTAAAGTTAGAGTGCAAAAACTAATGTGTCTTCGGACGACGCCAACGTCATACCAATATACGACCACAAAAATTTGTTTGCGGTTGTATAAAAATTAATGTGATTCACGTTTCATGTCAAATCTTAAATTACGGACAATTAATTTACAATTACTCTTTCATTCTTATTAAAATATACCACATTTGAAATTCGAATAAAAGATATTTTAGACCAATTTGTAATAAAATTTTAAGATTTTGTTTCAGTGAAAACAGATTTTTATTGACTTCCAAATATTAACATAGTTTTAAGTACAATTCTAATGACCAAATACTTACATGTTGACTCTTCCTATCTGCCATGAATCCATCTTCTCTGTCTAGGAGTGCAACATATTTAGGCTGTATCTTTAACAAAAACTATAACTTAATATCAGTTTTAGAGTCTATTTGCTGTTGCAATTTTTTCAGAATTTAATCTTTTGCATGTTGGACAAGAATATTTATAATTACTATACATTCCATTAAGAATATATTCATTAAGAGTATAAATTTGAAGAAAATATTTTTAGACCAATTTGTAATAAAGTTTCAAATTGGTTGATAATGAAATGGAGCCAGACAAAAAACTAAATACATTTTACCATAAACACAAGTTTTCATCATACTATGTAATCAGCTCTGTTGGGGGATCTGTTTTCACGAGATTAGCGCCCATTAAATTCATCAATGTTATATCAAAATCTAAAAGTTTGCTCTCTGCAGAGGTCTGCTTTTACGAGACCCATTTTAACATAAAGCATCTTCTTGTCAAACTGTTCAGGAAAAAAACGGGATTTTTATTACCTAACAAACATAAACATAGTTTTAAGAAAAATTGTAATGACCAAATACCTACATGTGCAACATCCTAATGTGCTATCTACAATGACAGCATCTTTCATGGTATAGGAGTGTTACATATTTAGGCTGTATAATCTGTAACAAAAACAAAAATTATAAATTAAGTTTCCGCTTTAAATCCAGACTTTTTGCTGTTGCAATCAATTTAGAAAATAATGTGATGCATGTTTTATTTTAAATCCCAAATTAGAGAAAAGTATAAAAACAATTACTATACATTCTTATTAAAGTATTCAGCATTAGAGTATAAATTGGAATGAAAGAAATTTTAGCCCAATTTGTTATAAAGCTTCAATCTGTTGTTTCAGGAAAAAAAAGATTTTTATTACCTAACAAATATAAATATAGTTTTAAGAAAAAATTGTAATGACCAAATACTTACATGTGACTTATCCTAATGTGCATTTGCAATGGAAGCATCTTTCATGGTATAGGAGTCTTACATATTTAGGCTATCTGAAACGAAAACAATAAAAATATACATTAATTTCAGCTTTTAATCCAGACTATTTGCTGTTGCAATCAATTCAGAAATTAATGTGATGCATGTTTTATGTCAAATCTTCAATTGGAGACAAGAATTTTTACAAAACCAAGAGTTCCAAATGGTGAAGTTGAAATCATTACTTCGTGTTCCTTATGTCGTAACTACAATCCAATTCCCTTTTCACGAATGTGACATACCGAATTAAGACTATTTACCGGCTTTGTTATAACATGAGCAACACGACGGGTGCCACATGTGGAGCAGAATCTGCTAACCCTTCCGGAGCACCTGAGATCACCCCAGTTTTTGGTGGGGTTCGTGTTGCTGTTGTACCCCTATTTGTGACATGTTTACCTATTGTGTCTGTTTGTTTTGTTCACACATCGCTGTTAATATAATGGAATTTGATGCGACTGTCATACAAGCCAGAGGTTTAGCTAGCTTTAAAACCAGGTTTAATCCACCATTTTCTACACAAGAAAATGCCTGTACCAAGTCAGGAATATGACAGTTGTTATCCATTCATTTGATGTGTTTGAGCTTTTCATTAGGGGCTTTCCGTTCTGAATTTTCCTTGGAGTTCAGTATTTTTGTGATTTTACTTTTTTCTTATTAAGATATATCTCATTACAGTGAATATTTCAATAAATGAAATGTAGGACCAATTTGTATTAAAAATTTCAAGCTGTTGTTCCAGGAAAAACTGATTTTTATTACCTAACAAATATAAACATAGTTTTAAGGACAATTTTAAGGAATAAATACCTACATGTGACTAATCCTAATATGTTATCTGCAATGGAAGCATCTTTCATGGTATAGGAGTCTTACATATTTAGGCTGTATCTGTAACAAAAACAAATATTTGAAATTATTTTCAGCTTCAAAATCAAAGCTATTTGCTGTTGCAATCAATTCAGAAATTAATGTGATGCATGTTTTATGTCAAATCCTAAATTGGAGACGTATATTTACAATACCTATACATTCTTATTAAAATATACTTTATTAGGATATAAATAAGAATAAAAGAAATTTTAAACCAACTTGTTATAAAGCTTCAATCTGTTGTTTCAGTGAAAACTGATTTTTAATGCCTAACAAATATAAACCTTGTTTAATGAAAAAAATTGTAATGAATAAATACTTACATGTAACTAATCCTAATGTGCTATCTACAATGAAACCATCTTCATTGTCGAAGAGTAACATATTTAGGCTCTATCTGTAAAAAAAAATAAAAAAATTGTCAATTAGTATCACTTTTAAATAGGGAATATTTGCTAGTGCAATCAATTCAGAAATTAATGTGATGCATGTTTTATGTCAAATCCTAAATTGGAGACTTAGTATATTTACAATTACTTAACTTATTACAGTAAATATTTGAATAAAAGAAATGTTAGACAAATTTGTAATAAAATTTTAAACGGTTGTTCAAGGGGAAAACTGATTTTTGTTACCTTCCACATATAAAAAGAGTTAAAAGTACAATTATAATGACCAAATACTTACATGATATGTATCTTCGTGTGCTATATACCATGAAAGCATCTTCATTGTCAAGGAGTGTAACATATTTAGTCCGTATCTGTAACAAAAACAAAAATTCTAAATCAGTATCAGCTTTAAATATAGAATATTGATTGTTGCAATTAATACAAAGTTAACATGATGCATTTTTTATGACAAATCCTAATTTGAAGACAAGTATATAAACAATTTCTATACATTATCATTAAAATAATCTTCATAAGAGTATAAATTTGAATAAAAGAAATTTTAAACCAATTTGTAATCAAATCTAATTTAAGCTGTTGTTCCAGGGAAAACTGATTTTTGTTACCTGGAAACCATATAAACATAGTTTAAAGTACAATTAAAAATACCAAATACCTACATGCTACGTATCCAGATGTGTGATCAATCTACCATGAAACCATCTTCATTGTCAAGGAGTGTAACATATTTAGGCTGTATCTGAAAATATCAAAATCGAGTTTAAAATGTCATTTCCAGTCTTAGATTATAGCTAACTGAGTGCGGATTCCAAAAATATATGGTTTCTATACACTTTTGTCCGAAATAAGGGAGATAATTTGTTACTTCCGGTTTGAAAAATATTACTTCTGGTATAATATGATAGGTTACTTGACATGGATTCCAAAAATATATGGTTCTATATACTTTTACATTAAATAAGTACAAAAAATAGCTACTTCCGGTTCACACAAGGTCACTTCTGGTTGCCTTTTTCGAGGTCATATGGCTTGCAACCTAATGCAAGAAGTCCTATGGCTCTATCATTTATAAAAAATAAAGTTAATGCTAAGGTCAAAATCTAGAACGTCAAATTTACCAATGACCTTGACCTATATTTCAAGGTCATAAAGTAAGGACCTCAAATCAAAAAATCATAGGTCTCTACTATATATGGTTAATGAGTAATATCACCATACAGCTAGTTTTAAATATGAGAGGGGAGAAAACTCCCACTTTATGTCAACGTACGCGTTCAACCAAAAATCATGTGTTACGACATTTTGCATATAACAATTTTGTAAAAATATTTTGTCAATATCTTATACGGCCTCTGATAATAAGAAATAACAAGCCAAAATAAAAATTTAGAACATGACCTTGACCTTTGACCTTGACCTAAATTTTCTTTAAGTGGACCAAGGACCTCAAACTAAAACACCCTAGGTCTCTATCACTAATGGTTTACAAGTTACAAATACATAAGGGGGAATAACTCTCATATGGAGTCTTCGTAACGCTTCGATCAAAATGAAACGTAACATTCAGAGGATATAACGAGTAATTTGGAAAAATAAATTAGTTGGTTTCTTCTAAGGTTGCGAAGAATAAGAAATAAGAAAAACAAGTGTTCGGGAGATAACTCTTACATAGAAAAGTATTCCGTTAAGCGGTGTCAGTTTCAAAAGCGTATAAACTGTTTGATATCATATACCAAATATAAAAGCGACATCTTGCGAAACAACCAAACAGCGAAGGAAAAAAAAATAATAATCAGAACAAAAGCATTAGGAAAAGTGGAAAGACCTTATCAGCTTCAAATAGAGACTATTTACTGTTGCAATCAATTATAAATAAATGTCACTTATATTTTATGTCAAATCCTTAATTGGACTCAAGTATATTTACAATTGCTAGTATGCTACGCATTCATGTTAAAATTTACTTCAATAAGATTATTAATTTGAAAAAAAAAAAAATATGTACACTAATTTGAAACAAAATTTTATTTAAGCTGTTGTTCCAGGGGAAACTGATATTTATTACCCAACACAGATAAACACAAGTCTAAAAGTACAATTGTAATGACTAAATACTTACATGTTAAACATCCTAATGTGCCATCTACCATGAAACCATCTACATTGTGTGGGAGTGGAACACATCTGGGCTGTGTGTGTTACAAAAGAAAAAATTTAAATTAGCATCAGCTTTAGATGGAGAATATTTAATGGCTGTTGAAAAAATTTAAATAAAATGCTCCGCTGGGGCGCAGCTTGATACGACCGCAGAGGTCGAACCCTGAACAGTTGGGGCAAGTATGGACACAACATTCAAGCTTGATACAGCACTGAATTTGGATTGTAATTAAATATTTGACACAGCATAGGTTTCTGACACAGAATGAAAGTGGTCCAAGAACTTAAAAATTTTTAATTTACCTATTCAAACCATATCATTATTATTTGCTTTTATACAAAATCAGAAATAACCAATTTAAAATGGTAAATTTTAAAGAAAAAAAAAATCCTCCCCCAATTTTTTGAACCCCCTTATGATTCATCACCCCCAAACTCAATCCCAGCCTTCCCTTTGTGGTATGGTACCTTGCAGTACAATTTCAGAGAGATCCATACACTTGAACACAAGTTATTGTCTGGAAACTAGAAAAATGCTTGTTTTATGGCCCCTTATTCCAAAACCTTAAGGGCAATTACCCCCAAACTCAAACCCAGCTTTCCCTTTGTGATATGGAACCTTGTAGTACAATTTCATAAAGATCCATACACTTACACACAAGTTATTGTCCTGAAACTAGAAAAATGCTTGTTTTTTGGCCCTTTTATGGCCCCTAATTCCTAAAATTTGGAGGCAATTACCCCCAAAATCAATCCCAGCCTTCCCTTTGTGTTATGGTACCTTGCAGTACAATTTCAGAGAGATCCATACACTTGAACACAAGTTATTGTCATGAAACTAGAAAAATGCTTGATTTTTTGCCCCATTTTGGCCCCTAATTCCTAAAATTTGGAGGCAATTACCCCCAAAATCAATCCCAGCATTCCCTTTGTGATATGGAACCTTGTGATACAATGTCAGAGAGATCCATACACTTACACATAAGTTATTGTCATGAAACTAGAAAAATGCTTGTTTTTTGCCCCTTTTTGGCCACTAATTCCTAAAATTTGGAGACAATTACCCCCCCCAAAATCAATCCCAGCATTCCCTTTGTGATATGGAACCTTGTGGTACAATGTCAGAGAGATCTATACACTTACACACAAGTTATGTCTGGAAGTTACAAAAATGCTTATTTTTGGCCCCTAATTCCTTAACTGTTGGTACCATAACCCCCAAAATCAATCCCCACCTTCCTTTTGTGGTATTGAACCTTATGGTAAAATTTCATTGAGATCCATTCACTTAAACTAAAGTTAGAGTGCAAAAACTAATGTGTCTTCGGACGAAGCCAACGTCATACCAATATACGACCACAAAAATTTGTTTGCGGTTGTATAAAAATTAATGTGATTCACGTTTCATGTCAAATCTTAAATTACGGACAATTAATTTACAATTACTCTTTCATTCTTATTAAAATATACCACATTTGAAATTCGAATAAAAGATATTTTAGACCAATTTGTAATAAAATTTTAAGATTTTGTTTCAGTGAAAACAGATTTTTATTGACTTCCAAATATTAACATAGTTTTAAGTACAATTCTAATGACCAAATACTTACATGTTGACTCTTCCTATCTGCCATGAATCCATCTTCTCTGTCTAGGAGTGCAACATATTTAGGCTGTATCTTTAACAAAAACTATAACTTAATATCAGTTTTAGAGTCTATTTGCTGTTGCAATTTTTTTTCAGAATTTAATCTTTTGCATGTTGGACAAGAATATTTATAATTACTATACATTCCATTAAGAATATATTTCATTAAGAGTATAAATTTGAAGAAAATATTTTTAGACCAATTTGTAATAAAGTTTCAAATTGGTTGATAATGAAATGGAGCCAGACAAAAAACTAAATACATTTTACCATAAACACAAGTTTTCATCATACTATGTAATCAGCTCTGTTGGGGGATCTGTTTTCACGAGATTAGCGCCAATTAAATTCATCAATGTTATATCAAAATCTAAAAGTTTGCTCTCTGCAGAGGTCTGCTTTTACGAGACCCATTTTAACATAAAGCATCTTTTTGTCAAACTGTTCAGGAAAAAAACGGATTTTTATTACCTAACAAACATAAACATAGTTTTAAGAGAAATTGTAATGACCAAATACCTACATGTGCAACATCCTAATGTGCTATCTACAATGACAGCATCTTTCATGGTATAGGAGTGTTACATATTTAGGCTGTATAATCTGTAACAAAAACAAAAATTATAAATTAAGTTTCCGCTTTAAATCCAGACTTTTTGCTGTTGCAATCAATTTAGAAAATAATGTGATGCATGTTTTATTTTAAATCCCAAATTAGAGAAAAGTATAAAAACAATTACTATACATTCTTATTAAAGTATTCAGCATTAGAGTATAAATTGGAATGAAAGAAATTTTAGCCCAATTTGTTATAAAGCTTCAATCTGTTGTTTCAGGAAAAAAAAGATTTTTATTACCTAACAAATATAAATATAGTTTTAAGAAAAAATTGTAATGACCAAATACTTACATGTGACTTATCCTAATGTGCATTTGCAATGGAAGCATCTTTCATGGTATAGGAGTCTTACATATTTAGGCTATCTGAAACGAAAACAATAAAAATATACATTAATTTCAGCTTTTAATCCAGACTATTTGCTGTTGCAATCAATTCAGAAATTAATGTGATGCATGTTTTATGTCAAATCTTCAATTGGAGACAAGAATTTTTACAAAACCAAGAGTTCCAAATGGTGAAGTTGAAATCATTACTTCGTGTTCCTTATGTCGTAACTACAATCCAATTCCCTTTTCACGAATGTGACATACCGAATTAAGACTATTTACCGGCTTTGTTATAACATGAGCAACACGACGGGTGCCACATGTGGAGCAGAATCTGCTAACCCTTCCAGAGCACCTGAGATCACCCCAGTTTTTGGTGGGGTTCGTGTTGCTGTTGTACCCCTATTTGTGACATGTTTACCTATTGTGTCTGTTTGTTTTGTTCACACATCTCTGTTAATATAATGGAATTTGATGCGACTGTCATACAAGCCAGAGGTTTAGCTAGCTTTAAAACCAGGTTTAATCCACCATTTTCTACACAAGAAAATGCCTGTACCAAGTCAGGAATATGACAGTTGTTATCCATTCATTTGATGTGTTTGAGCTTTTCATTAGGGGCTTTCCGTTCTGAATTTTCCTTGGAGTTCAGTATTTTTGTGATTTTACTTTTTTCTTATTAAGATATATCTCATTACAGTGAATATTTCAATAAATGAAATGTAGGACCAATTTGTATTAAAAATTTCAAGCTGTTGTTCCAGGAAAAACTGATTTTTATTACCTAACAAATATAAACTTAGTTTTAAGGACAATTTTAAGGAATAAATACCTACATGTGACTAATCCTAATATGTTATCTGCAATGGAAGCATCTTTCATGGTATAGGAGTCTTACATATTTAGGCTGTATCTGTAACAAAAACAAATATTTGAAATTATTTTTAGCTTCAAAATCAAAGCTATTTGCTGTTGCAATCAATTCAGAAATTAATGTGATGCATGTTTTATGTCAAATCCTAAATTGGAGACGTATATTTACAATACCTATACATTCTTATTAAAATATACTTTATTAGGATATAAATAAGAATAAAAGAAATTTTAAACCAACTTGTTATAAAGCTTCAATCTGTTGTTTCAGTGAAAACTGATTTTTAATGCCTAACAAATATAAACCTTGTTTAATGAAAAAAATTGTAATGAATAAATACTTACATGTAACTAATCCTAATGTGCTATCTACAATGAAACCATCTTCATTGTCGAAGAGTAACATATTTAGGCTCTATCTGTAAAAAAAAATAAAAAAATTGTCAATTAGTATCACTTTTAAATAGGGAATATTTGCTAGTGCAATCAATTCAGAAATTAATGTGATGCATGTTTTATGTCAAATCCTAAATTGGAGACTACGTATATTTACAATTACTTAACGTATTACAGTAAATATTTGAATAAAAGAAATGTTAGACAAATTTGTAATAAAATTTTAAACGGTTGTTCAAGGGGAAAACTGATTTTTGTTACCTTCCACATATAAAAAGAGTTAAAAGTACAATTATAATGACCAAATACTTACATGATATGTATCTTCGTGTGCTATATACCATGAAAGCATCTTCATTGTCAAGGAGTGTAACATATTTAGTCCGTATCTGTAACAAAAACAAAAATTCTAAATCAGTATCAGCTTTAAATATAGAATATTGATTGTTGCAATTAATACAAAGTTAATATGATGCATTTTTTATGACAAATCCTAATTTGAAGACAAGTATATAAACAATTTCTATACATTATCATTAAAATAATCTTCATAAGAGTATAAATTTGAATAAAAGAAATTTTAAACCAATTTGTAATCAAATCTAATTTAAGCTGTTGTTCCAGGGAAAACTGATTTTTGTTACCTGGAAACCATATAAACATAGTTTAAAGTACAATTAAAAATACCAAATACCTACATGCTACGTATCCAGATGTGTGATCAATCTACCATGAAACCATCTTCATTGTCAAGGAGTGTAACATATTTAGGCTGTATCTGAAAATATCAAAATCCAGTTTAAAATGTCATTTCCAGTCTTAGATTATAGCTAACTGAGTGCGGATTCCAAAAATATATGGTTTCTATACACTTTTGTCCGAAATAAGGGAGATAATTTGTTACTTCCGGTTTGAAAAATATTACTTCTGGTATAATATGATAGGTTACTTGACATGGATTCCAAAAATATATGGTTCTATATACTTTTACATTAAATAAGTACAAAAAATAGCTACTTCCGGTTCACACAAGGTCACTTCTGGTTGCCTTTTTCGAGGTCATATGGCTTGCAACCTAATGCAAGAAGTCCTATGGCTCTATCATTTATAAAAAATAAAGTTAATGCTAAGGTCAAAATCTAGAACGTCAAATTTACCAATGACCTTGACCTATATTTCAAGGTCATAAAATAAGGACCTCAAATCAAAAAATCATAGGTCTCTACTATATATGGTTAATGAGTAATATCACCATACAGCTAGTTTTAAATATGAGAGGGGAGAAAACTCCCATTTTATGTCAACGTACGCGTTCAACCAAAAATCATGTGTTACGACATTTTGCATATAACAATTTTGTAAAAATATTTTGTCAATATCTTATACGGCCTCTGATAATAAGAAATAACAAGCCAAAATAAAAATTTAGAACATGACCTTGACCTTTGACCTTGACCTAAATTTTCTTTAAGTGGACCAAGGACCTCAAACCAAAACACCCTAGGTCTCTATCACTAATGGTTTACAAGTTACAAATACATAAGGGGGAATAACTCTCATATGGAGTCTTCGTAACGCTTCGATCAAAATGAAACGTAACATTCAGAGGATATAACGAGTAATTTGGAAAAATAAATTAGTTGGTTTCTTCTAAGGTTGCGAAGAATAAGAAATAACAAGAAAAACAAGTGTTCGGGAGATAACTCTTACATAGAAAAGTATTCCGTTAAGCGGTGTCAGTTTCAAAAGCGTATAAACTGTTTGATATCATATACCAAATATAAAAGCGACATCTTGCGAAACAACCAAACAGCGAAGGAAAAAAAAATAATAATCAGAACAAAAGCATTAGGAAAAGTGGAAAGACCTTATCAGCTTCAAATAGAGACTATTTACTGTTGCAATCAATTATAAATAAATGTCACTTATATTTTATGTCAAATCCTAAATTGGACTCAAGTATATTTACAATTGCTAGTATGCTACGCATTCATGTTAAAATTTACTTCAATAAGATTATTAATTTGAAAAAAAAAAAAATATGTACACTAATTTGAAACAAAATTTTATTTAAGCTGTTGTTCCAGGGGAAACTGATATTTATTACCCAACACAGATAAACATAAGTCTAAAAGTACAATTGTAATGACTAAATACTTACATGTTAAACATCCTAATGTGCCATCTACCATGAAACCATCTACATTGTGTGGGAGTGGAACACATCTGGGCTGTATGTGTTACAAAAGAAAAAATTTAAATTAGCATCAGCTTTAGATGGAGAATATTTAATGGCTGTTGAAAAAATTTAAATAAAATGCTCTGCTGGGGCGCAGCTTGATACGACCGCAGAGGTCGAACCCTGAACAGTTGGGGCAAGTATGGACACAACATTCAAGCTTGATACAGCACTGAATTTGGATTGTAATTAAATATTTGACACAGCATAGGTTTCTGACACAGAATGAAAGTGGTCCAAGAACTTAAAAAATTTTAATTTACCTATTCAAACCATATCATTATTATTTGCTTTTATACAAAATCAGAAATAACCAATTTAAAATGGTAAATTTTAAAGAAAAAAAATGAAAAAAAAATCCCCCCCCCCAATTTTTTGAACCCCCTTATGATTCATCACCCCAAACTCAATCCCAGCCTTCCCTTTGTGGTATGGTACCTTGCAGTACAATTTCAGAGAGATCCATACACTTGAACACAAGTTATTGTCTGGAAACTAGAAAAATGCTTGTTTTTTGGCCCCTTTTTTGGCCCCAAATTCCAAAACCTAAAGGGCAATTACCCCCAAACTCAAACCCAGCTTTCCCTTTGTGATATGGAACCTTGTAGTACAATTTCATAAAGATCCATACACTTACACACAAGTTATTGTCCTGAAACTAGAAAAATGCTTGTTTTTTGGCCCTTTTATGGCCCCTAATTCCTAAAATTTGGAGGCAATTACCCCCAAAATCAATCCCAGCCTTCCCTTTGTGTTATGGTACCTTGCAGTACAATTTCAGAGAGATCCATACACTTGAAAACGAGTTATTGTCTGGAAACTAAAAAAATGCTTGTTTTTTTGCCCCTTTTTGGCCCCAAATTCCTAAACGTTTACGGCAATTACCCCCAAACTCAAACCCAGCTTTCCCTTTGTGATATGGAACCTTGCAGTACAATTTCATAAAGATCCATACACTTACACACAAGTTATTGTCCTGAAACTAGAAAAATGCTTGTTTTATGGCCCCTTATTCCAAAACCTTAAGGGCAATTACATCCAAACTCAAACCCAGCTTTCCTTTTGTGATATGGAACCTTGTAGTACAATTTCATAAAGATCCATACACTTACACACAAGTTATTGTCCTGAAACTAGAAAAATGCTTGTTTTTTGGCCCTTTTATGGCCCCTAATTCCTAAAATTTGGAGGCAATTACCCCCAAAATTAATCCCAGCCTTCCCTTTGTGTTATGGTACCTTGCAGTACAATTTCAGAGAGATCCATACACTTGAACACAAGTTATTGTCATGAAACTAGAAAAATGCTTGATTTTTTGCCCCTTTTTGGCCCCTAATTCCTAAAATTTGGAGGCAATTACCCCCAAAATCAATCCCAGCATTCCCTTTGTGATATGGAACCTTGTGATACAATGTCAGAGAGATCCATACACTTACACATAAGTTATTGTCATGAAACTAGAAAAATGCTTGTTTTTTGCCCCTTTTTGGCCACTAATTCCTAAAATTTGGAGACAATTACCCCCCCAAAATCAATCCCAGCATTCCCTTTGTGATATGGAACCTTGTGGTACAATGTCAGAGAGATCTATACACTTACACACAAGTTATGTCTGGAAGTTACAAAAATGCTTATTTTTGGCCCCTAATTCCTTAACTGTTGGTACCATAACCCCCAAAATCAATCCCCACCTTCCTTTTGTGGTATTGAACCTTATGGTAAAATTTCATTGAGATCCATTCACTTAAACTAAAGTTAGAGTGCAAAAACTAATGTGTCTTCGGACGACGCCAACGTCATACCAATATACGACCACAAAAATTTGTTTGCGGTTGTATAAAAATTAATGTGATTCACGTTTCATGTCAAATCTTAAATTACGGACAATTAATTTACAATTACTCTTTCATTCTTATTAAAATATACCACATTTGAAATTCGAATAAAAGATATTTTAGACCAATTTGTAATAAAATTTTAAGATTTTGTTTCAGTGAAAACAGATTTTTATTGACTTCCAAATATTAACATAGTTTTAAGTACAATTCTAATGACCAAATACTTACATGTTGACTCTTCCTATCTGCCATGAATCCATCTTCTCTGTCTAGGAGTGCAACATATTTAGGCTGTATCTTTAACAAAAACTATAACTTAATATCAGTTTTAGAGTCTATTTGCTGTTGCAATTTTTTTCAGAATTTAATCTTTTGCATGTTGGACAAGAATATTTATAATTACTATACATTCCATTAAGAATATATTTCATTAAGAGTATAAATTTGAAGAAAATATTTTTAGACCAATTTGTAATAAAGTTTCAAATTGGTTGATAATGAAATGGAGCCAGACAAAAAACTAAATACATTTTACCATAAACACAAGTTTTCATCATACTATGTAATCAGCTCTGTTGGGGGATCTGTTTTCACGAGATTAGCGCCCATTAAATTCATCAATGTTATATCAAAATCTAAAAGTTTGCTCTCTGCAGAGGTCTGCTTTTACGAGACCCATTTTAACATAAAGCATCTTTTTGTCAAACTGTTCAGGAAAAAAACGGATTTTTATTACCTAACAAACATAAACATAGTTTTAAGAAAAATTGTAATGACCAAATACCTACATGTGCAACATCCTAATGTGCTATCTACAATGACAGCATCTTTCATGGTATAGGAGTGTTACATATTTAGGCTGTATAATCTGTAACAAAAACAAAAATTATAAATTAAGTTTCCGCTTTAAATCCAGACTTTTTGCTGTTGCAATCAATTTAGAAAATAATGTGATGCATGTTTTATTTTAAATCCCAAATTAGAGAAAAGTATAAAAACAATTACTATACATTCTTATTAATGTATTCAGCATTAGAGTATAAATTGGAATGAAAGAAATTTTAGCCCAATTTGTTATAAAGCTTCAATGTGTTGTTTCAGGAAAAAATAGATTTTTATTACCTAACAAATATAAATATAGTTTTAAGAAAAAATTGTAATGACCAAATACTTACATGTGACTTATCCTAATGTGCATCTGCAATGGAAGCATCTTTCATGGTATAGGAGTCTTACATATTTAGGCTATCTGAAACGAAAACAAAAAAAAATATACATTAATTTCAGACTATTTGCTGTTGCAATCAATTCAGAAATTAATGTGATGCATGTTTTATGTCAAATCTTCAATTGGAGACAAGAATTTTTACAAAACCAAGAGTTCCAAATGGTGAAGTTGAAATCATTACTTCGTGTTCCTTATGTCGTAACTACAATCCAATTCCCTTTTCACGAATGTGACATACCGAATTAAGACTATTTACCGGCTTTGTTATAACATGAGCAACACGACGGGTGCCACATGTGGAGCAGAATCTGCTAACCCTTCCGGAGCACCTGAGATCACCCCAGTTTTTGGTGGGGTTCGTGTTGCTGTTGTACCCCTATTTGTGACATGTTTACCTATTGTGTGTTTGTTTTGTTCACACATCGCTGTTAATATAATGGAATTTGATGCGACTGTCATACAAGCCAGAGGTTTAGCTAGCTTTAAAACCAGGTTTAATCCACCATTTTCTACACAAGAAAATGCCTGTACCAAGTCAGGAATATGACAGTTGTTATCCATTCATTTGATGTGTTTGAGCTTTTCATTAGGGGCTTTCCGTTCTGAATTTTCCTTGGAGTTCAGTATTTTTGTGATTTTACTTTTTTCTTATTAAGATATATCTCATTACAGTGAATATTTCAATAAATGAAATGTAGGACCAATTTGTATTAAAAATTTCAAGCTGTTGTTCCAGGAAAAACTGATTTTTATTACCTAACAAATATAAACTTAGTTTTAAGGACAATTTTAAGGAATAAATACCTACATGTGACTAATCCTAATATGTTATCTGCAATGGAAGCATCTTTCATGGTATAGGAGTCTTACATATTTAGGCTGTATCTGTAACAAAAACAAATATTTGAAATTATTTTCAGCTTCAAAATCAAAGCTATTTGCTGTTGCAATCAATTCAGAAATTAATGTGATGCATGTTTTATGTCAAATCCTAAATTGGAGACGTATATTTACAATACCTATACATTCTTATTAAAATATACTTTATTAGGATATAAATAAGAATAAAAGAAATTTTAAACCAACTTGTTATAAAGCTTCAATCTGTTGTTTCAGTGAAAACTGATTTTTAATGCCTAACAAATATAAACCTTGTTTAATGAAAAAAATTGTAATGAATAAATACTTACATGTAACTAATCCTAATGTGCTATCTACAATGAAACCATCTTCATTGTCGAAGAGTAACATATTTAGGCTCTATCTGTAAAAAAAAATAAAAAAATTGTCAATTAGTATCACTTTTAAATAGGGAATATTTGCTAGTGCAATCAATTCAGAAATTAATGTGATGCATGTTTTATGTCAAATCCTAAATTGGAGACTACGTATATTTACAATTACTTAACGTATTACAGTAAATATTTGAATAAAAGAAATGTTAGACAAATTTGTAATAAAATTTTAAACGGTTGTTCAAGGGGAAAACTGATTTTTGTTACCTTCCACATATAAAAAGAGTTAAAAGTACAATTATAATGACCAAATACTTACATGATATGTATCTTCGTGTGCTATATACCATGAAAGCATCTTCATTGTCAAGGAGTGTAACATATTTAGTCCGTATCTGTAACAAAAACAAAAATTCTAAATCAGTATCAGCTTTAAATATAGAATATTGATTGTTGCAATTAATACAAAGTTAATATGATGCATTTTTTATGACAAATCCTAATTTGAAGACAAGTATATAAACAATTTCTATACATTATCATTAAAATAATCTTCATAAGAGTATAAATTTGAATAAAAGAAATTTTAAACCAATTTGTAATCAAATCTAATTTAAGCTGTTGTTCCAGGGAAAACTGATTTTTGTTACCTGGAAACCATATAAACATAGTTTAAAGTACAATTAAAAATACCAAATACCTACATGCTACGTATCCAGATGTGTGATCAATCTACCATGAAACCATCTTCATTGTCAAGGAGTGTAACATATTTAGGCTGTATCTGAAAATATCAAAATCGAGTTTAAAATGTCATTTCCAGTCTTAGATTATAGCTAACTGAGTGCGGATTCCAAAAATATATGGTTTCTATACACTTTTGTCCGAAATAAGGGAGATAATTTGTTACTTCCGGTTTGAAAAATATTACTTCTGGTATAATATGATAGGTTACTTGACATGGATTCCAAAAATATATGGTTCTATATACTTTTACATTAAATAAGTACAAAAAATAGCTACTTCCGGTTCACACAAGGTCACTTCTGGTTGCCTTTTTCGAGGTCATATGGCTTGCAACCTAATGCAAGAAGTCCTATGGCTCTATCATTTATAAAAAATAAAGTTAATGCTAAGGTCAAAATCTAGAACGTCAAATTTACCAATGACCTTGACCTATATTTCAAGGTCATAAAATAAGGACCTCAAATCAAAAAATCATAGGTCTCTACTATATATGGTTAATGAGTAATATCACCATACAGCTAGTTTTAAATATGAGAGGGGAGAAAACTCCCATTTTATGTCAACGTACGCGTTCAACCAAAAATCATGTGTTACGACATTTTGCATATAACAATTTTGTAAAAATATTTTGTCAATATCTTATACGGCCTCTGATAATAAGAAATAACAAGCCAAAATAAAAATTTAGAACATGACCTTGACCTTTGACCTTGACCTAAATTTTCTTTAAGTGGACCAAGGACCTCAAACCAAAACACCCTAGGTCTCTATCACTAATGGTTTACAAGTTACAAATACATAAGGGGGAATAACTCTCATATGGAGTCTTCGTAACGCTTCGATCAAAATGAAACGTAACATTCAGAGGATATAACGAGTAATTTGGAAAAATAAATTAGTTGGTTTCTTCTAAGGTTGCGAAGAATAAGAAATAACAAGAAAAACAAGTGTTCGGGAGATAACTCTTACATAGAAAAGTATTCCGTTAAGCGGTGTCAGTTTCAAAAGCGTATAAACTGTTTGATATCATATACCAAATATAAAAGCGACATCTTGCGAAACAACCAAACAGCGAAGGAAAAAAAAATAATAATCAGAACAAAAGCATTAGGAAAAGTGGAAAGACCTTATCAGCTTCAAATAGAGACTATTTACTGTTGCAATCAATTATAAATAAATGTCACTTATATTTTATGTCAAATCCTAAATTGGACTCGAGTATATTTACAATTGCTAGTATGCTACGCATTCATGTTAAAATTTACTTCAATAAGATTATTAATTTGAAAAAAAAAAAAAATATGTACACTAATTTGAAACAAAATTTTATTTAAGCTGTTGTTCCAGGGGAAACTGATATTTATTACCCAACACAGATAAACATAAGTCTAAAAGTACAATTGTAATGACTAAATACTTACATGTTAAACATCCTAATGTGCCATCTACCATGAAACCATCTACATTGTGTGGGAGTGGAACACATCTGGGCTGTATGTGTTACAAAAGAAAAAATTTAAATTAGCATCAGCTTTAGATGGAGAATATTTAATGGCTGTTGAAAAAATTTAAATAAAATGCTCCGCTGGGGCGCAGCTTGATACGACCGCAGAGGTCGAACCCTGAACAGTTGGGGCAAGTATGGACACAACATTCAAGCTTGATACAGCACTGAATTTGGATTGTAATTAAATATTTGACACAGCATAGGTTTCTGACACAGAATGAAAGTGGTCCAAGAACTTAAAAATTTTTAATTTACCTATTCAAACCATATCATTATTATTTGCTTTTATACAAAATCAGAAATAACCAATTTAAAATGGTAAATTTTAAAGAAAAAAAATGAAAAAAAAATCCTCCCAATTTTTTGAACCCCCTTATGATTCATCACCCCCAAACTCAATCCCAGCCTTCCCTTTGTGGTATGGTACCTTGCAGTACAATTTCAGAGAGATCCATACACTTGAACACAAGTTATTGTCTGGAAACTAGAAAAATGCTTGTTTTTTGGCCCCTTTTTTGGCCCCAAATTCCAAAACCTAAAGGGCAATTACCCCCAAACTCAAACCCAGCTTTCCCTTTGTGATATGGAACCTTGTAGTACAATTTCATAAAGATCCATACACTTACACACAAGTTATTGTCCTGAAACTAGAAAAATGCTTGTTTTTTGGCCCTTTTATGGCCCCTAATTCCTAAAATTTGGAGGCAATTACCCCCAAAATCAATCCCAGCCTTTCTTTTGTGTTATGGTACCTTGCAGTACAATTTCAGAGAGATCCATACACTTGAAAACGAGTTATTGTCTGGAAACTAGAAAAATGCTTGTTTTTTTGCCCCTTTTTGGCCCCAAATTCCTAAACGTTTAGGGCAATTACCCCCAAACTCAAACCCAGCTTTCCCTTTGTGATATGGAACCTTGCAGTACAATTTCATAAAGATCCATACACTTACACACAAGTTATTGTCCTGAAACTAGAAAAATGCTTGTTTTTTGGCCCTTTTATGGCCCCTAATTCCTAAAATTTGGAGGCAATTACCCCCAAAATCAATCCCATCCTTCCCTTTGTGTTATGGTACCTTGCAGTACAATTTCAGAGAGATCCATACACTTGAACACAAGTTATTGTCATGAAACTAGAAAAATGCTTGATTTTTTGCCCCTTTTTGGCCCCTAATTCCAAAATCTAAAAGGCAATTACCCCCAAACTCAAACCCAGCTTTCCCTTTGTGATATGGAACCTTGTAGTACAATTTCATAAAGATCCATACACTTACACACAAGTTATTGTCATGAAACTAGAAAAATGCTTGATTTTTTGCCCCTTTTTGGCCCCTAATTCCTAAAATTTGGAGGCAATTACCCCCAAAATCAATCCCAGCATTCCCTTTGTGATATGGAACCTTGTGATACAATGTCAGAGAGATCCATACACTTACACATAAGTTATTGTCATGAAACTAGAAAAATGCTTGTTTTTTGCCCCTTTTTTGGCCCCTAATTCCTAAAATTTGGAGACAATTACCCCCCAAAATCAATCCCAGCATTCCCTTTGTGATATGGAACCTTGTGGTACAATGTCAGAGAGATCCATACACTTACACACAAGTTATGTCTGGAAGTTACAAAAATGCTTATTTTTGGCCCCTAATTCCTTAACTGTTGGTACCATAACCCCCAAAATCAATCCCCACCTTCCTTTTGTGGTATTGAACCTTATGGTAAAATTTCATTGAGATCCATTCACTTAAACTAAAGTTAGAGTGCAAAAACTAATGTGTCTTCGGACGACGCCAACGTCATACCAATATACGACCACAAAAATTTGTTTGCGGTCGTATAAAAATTAATGTGATTCACGTTTCATGTCAAATCTTAAATTACGGACAATTAATTTACAATTACTCTTTCATTCTTATTAAAATATACCACATTTGAAATTCGAATAAAAGATATTTTAGACCAATTTGTAATAAAATTTTAAGCTATTGTTTCAGTGAAAACAGATTTTTATTGACTTCCAAATATTAACATAGTTTTAAGTACAATTCTAATGACCAAATACTTACATGTTGACTCTTCCTATCTGCCATGAATCCATCTTCTCTGTCTAGGAGTGCAACATATTTAGGCTGTATCTTTAACAAAAACTATAACTTAATATCAGTTTTAGAGTCTATTTGCTGTTGCAATTTTTTTCAGAATTTAATCTTTTGCATGTTGGACAAGAATATTTATAATTACTATACATTCCATTAAGAATATATTTCATTAAGAGTATAAATTTGAAGAAAATATTTTTAGACCAATTTGTAATAAAGTTTCAAATTGGTTGATAATGAAATGGAGCCAGACAAAAAACTAAATACATTTTACCATAAACACAAGTTTTCATCATACTATGTAATCAGCTCTGTTGGGGGATCTGTTTTCACGAGATTAGCGCCCATTAAATTCATCAATGTTATATCAAAATCTAAAAGTTTGCTCTCTGCAGAGGTCTGCTTTTACGAGACCCATTTTAACATAAAGCATCTTTTTGTCAAACTGTTCAGGAAAAAAACGGATTTTTATTACCTAACAAACATAAACATTATGTTTTAAGAAAAATTGTAATGACCAAATACCTACATGTGCAACATCCTAATGTGCTATCTACAATGACAGCATCTTTCATGGTATAGGAGTGTTACATATTTAGGCTGTATAATCTGTAACAAAAACAAAAATTATAAATTAAGTTTCCGCTTTAAATCCAGACTTTTTGCTGTTGCAATCAATTTAGAAAATAATGTGATGCATGTTTTATTTTAAATCCCAAATTAGAGAAAAGTATAAAAACAATTACTATACATTCTTATTAGAGTATTCAGCATTAGAGTATACATTGGAATGAAAGAAATTTTAGCCCAATTTGTTATAAAGCTTCAATCTGTTGTTTCAGGAAAAAATAGATTTTTATTACCTAACAAATATAAATATAGTTGTAATTGTAATGACCAAATACTTACATGTGACTTATCCTAATGTGCATCTGCAATGAAAGCATCTTTCATGGTATAGGAGTCTTACATATTTAGGCTATCTGAAACGAAAACAAAAAAAAATATACATTAATTTCAGCTTTTAATCCAGACTATTTGCTGTTGCAATCAATTCAGAAATTAATGTGATGCATGTTTTATGTCAAATCTTTAATTGGAGACAAGAATTTTTACAAAACCAAGAGTTCCAAATGGTGAAGTTGAAATCATTACTTCGTGTTCCTTATGTCGTAACTACAATCCAATTCCCTTTTCACGAATGTGACATACCGAATTAAGACTATTTACTGGCTTTGTTATAACATGAGCAACATGACGGGTGCCACGTGTGGAGCAGAATCTGCTTACCCTTCCGGAGCACCTGAGATCACCCCAGTTTTTGGTGGGGTTGGTGTTGCTGTTGTACCCCTATTTGTGACATGTTTACCTATTGTGTCTGTTTGTTTTGTTCACACATCGCTGTTAATATAATGGAATTTGATGCTACTGTCATACAAGCCAGAGGTTTAGCTAGCTTTAAAACCAGGTTTAATCCACCATTTTCTACACAAGAAAATGCCTGTACCAAGTCAGGAATATGACAGTTGTTATCCATTCATTTGATGTGTTTGAGCTTTTCATTAGGGGCTTTCCGTTCTGAATTTTCCTTGGAGTTCAGTATTTTTGTGATTTTACTTTTTTCTTATTTAGATATATCTCATTACAGTGAATATTTCAATAAATGAAATGTAGGACCAATTTGTATTAAAAATTTCAAGCTGTTGTTCCAGGAAAAACTGATTTTTATTACCTAACAAATATAAACATAGTTTTAAGAACAATTTTTATGAATAAATACCTACATGTGACTAATCCTAATATGCTATCTGCAATGGAAGCATCTTTCATGGTATAGGAGTCTTACATATTTAGGCTGTATCTGTAACAAAAACAAATATTTGAAATTAGTTTCAGCTTCAAAATCAAAGCTATTTGCTGTTGCAATCAATTCAGAAATTAATGTGATGCATGTTTTATGTCAAATCCTAAATTGGAGACGTATATTTACAATACCTATACATTCTTATTAAAATATACTTCATTAGGATATAAATAAGAATAAAAGAAATTTTAAACCAATTTGTTATAAAGCTTCAATCTGTTGTTTCAGTGAAAACTGATTTTTAATGCCTAACAAATATAAACCTAGTTTAATGAAAAAAATTGTAATGAATAAATACTTACATGTAACTAATCCTAATGTGCTATCTACAATGAAACCATCTTCATTGTCGAAGAGTAACATATTTAGGCTGTATCTGTAAAAAAAAACCAAAAAATTGTCAATTAGTATCACTTTTAAATAGGGAATATTTGCTAGTGCAATCAATTCAGAAATTAATGTGATGCATGTTTTATGTCAAATCCTAAATTGGAGACTACGTATATTTACAATTACTTAACGTATTACAGTAAATATTTGAATAAAAGAAATGTTAGACAAATTTGTAATAAAATTTTAAACGGTTGTTCAAGGGGAAAACTGATTTTTGTTAACTTCCACATATAAAAAGAGTTAAAAGTACAATTATAATGACCAAATACTTACATGATATGTATCTTCGTGTGCTATATACCATGAAAGCATCTTCATTGTCAAGGAGTGCAACATATTTAGTCCGTACCTGTAACAAAAACAAAAATTCTAAATCAGTATCAGCTTTAAATATAGAATATTGATTGTTGCAATTAATACAAAGTTAATATGATGCATTTTTTATGACAAATCCTAATTTGAAGACTAGTATATAAACAATTTCTATACATTATCATTAAAATAATCTTCATAAGAGTATAAATTTGAATAAAAGAAATTTTAAACCAATTTGTAATCAAATCTAATTTAAGCTGTTGTTCCAGGGAAAACTGATTTTTGTTACCTGGAAACCATATAAACATAGTTTAAAGTACAATTAAAAATACCAAATACCTACATGCTACGTATCCAGATGTGTGATCAATCTACCATGAAACCATCTTCATTGTCTAGGAGTGTAACATATTTAGGCTGTATCTGAAAATATCAAAATCGAGTTTAAAATGTCATTTCCAGTCTTAGATTATAGCTAACTGAGTGCGGATTCCAAAAATATATGGTTTCTATACACTTTTGTCCGAAATAAGGGAGATAATTTGTTACTTCCGGTTTGAAAAATATTACTTCTGGTATAATATGATAGGTTACTTGACATGGATTCCAAAAATATATGGTTCTATATACTTTTACATTAAATAAGTACAAAAAATAGCTACTTCCGGTTCACACAAGGTCACTTCTGGTTGGCTTTTTCAAGGTCATATGGCTTGCAACCTAATGCAAGAAGTCCTATGGCTCTATCATTTATAAAAATAAAGTTAATGCTAAGGTCAAAATCTAGAATGTCAAATTTACCAATGACCTTGACCTATATTTCAAGGTCATAAAGTAAGGACCTCAAATCAAAAAATCATAGGTCTCTACTATATATGGCTAATGAGTAATATCACCATACAGCTAGTTTTAAATATGAGAGGGGAGAAAACTCCCATTTTATGTCAACGTACGCGTTCAACCAAAAATCATGTGTTACGACATTTTGCATATAACAATTTTGTAAAAATATTTTGTCAATATCTTATACGGCCTCTGATAATAAGAAATTACAAACCAAAATAAAAAATACCAAAATTTAGAACATGACCTTGACCTAAATTTTCTTTAAGTGGACCAAGGACCTCAAACCAAAACACCCTAGGTCTCTATCATTAATGGTTTACAAGTTACAAATACATAAGGGGGAATAACTCTCATATGGAGTTTTCGTAACGCTTCGATCAAAATGAAACGTAACATTCAGAGGTTATAACGAGTAATTTGGAAAAATAAATTAGTTGGTTTCTTCTAAGGTTGCGAAGAATAAGAAATAACAAGAAAAACAGTGTTCGGGGAGATAACTCTTACATAGAAAAGTATTCCATTAAGCAGTGTCAGTTTCAAAAGCGTATAAACTGTTTGATATCATATACCAAATATAAAAGCGACATCTTGCGAAACAACCAAACAGCGAAGGAAAAAAAAAAAATAATCAGAACAAAAGCATTAGGAAAAGTGGAAAGACCTTATCAGCTTCAAATAGAGACTATTTACTGTTGCAATATTTTTGTTGCTTATTTTTGGCCCCTAATTCCTTAACTGTTGGTACCATAACCCCCAAAATCAATCCCCACCTTCCTTTTGTGGTATTGAACCTTATGGTAAAATTTCATTGAGATCCATTCACTTAAACTAAAGTTAGAGTGCAAAAACTAATGTGTCTTCGGACGACGCCAACGTCATACCAATATACGACCACAAAAATTTGTTTGCGGTCGTATAAAAATTAATGTGATTCACGTTTCATGTCAAATCTTAAATTACGGACAATTAATTTACAATTACTCTTTCATTCTTATTAAAATATACCACATTTGAAATTCGAATAAAAGATATTTTAGACCAATTTGTAATAAAATTTTAAGCTATTGTTTCAGTGAAAACAGATTTTTATTGACTTCCAAATATTAACATAGTTTTAAGTACAATTCTAATGACCAAATACTTACATGTTGACTCTTCCTATCTGCCATGAATCCATCTTCTCTGTCTAGGAGTGCAACATATTTAGGCTGTATCTTTAACAAAAACTATAACTTAATATCAGTTTTAGAGTCTATTTGCTGTTGCAATTTTTTTCAGAATTTAATCTTTTGCATGTTGGACAAGAATATTTATAATTACTATACATTCCATTAAGAATATATTTCATTAAGAGTATAAATTTGAAGAAAATATTTTTAGACCAATTTGTAATAAAGTTTCAAATTGGTTGATAATGAAATGGAGCCAGACAAAAAACTAAATACATTTTACCATAAACACAAGTTTTCATCATACTATGTAATCAGCTCTGTTGGGGGATCTGTTTTCACGAGATTAGCGCCCATTAAATTCATCAATGTTATATCAAAATCTAAAAGTTTGCTCTCTGCAGAGGTCTGCTTTTACGAGACCCATTTTAACATAAAGCATCTTTTTGTCAAACTGTTCAGGAAAAAAACGGATTTTTATTACCTAACAAACATAAACATTATGTTTTAAGAAAAATTGTAATGACCAAATACCTACATGTGCAACATCCTAATGTGCTATCTACAATGACAGCATCTTTCATGGTATAGGAGTGTTACATATTTAGGCTGTATAATCTGTAACAAAAACAAAAATTATAAATTAAGTTTCCGCTTTAAATCCAGACTTTTTGCTGTTGCAATCAATTTAGAAAATAATGTGATGCATGTTTTATTTTAAATCCCAAATTAGAGAAAAGTATAAAAACAATTACTATACATTCTTATTAGAGTATTCAGCATTAGAGTATACATTGGAATGAAAGAAATTTTAGCCCAATTTGTTATAAAGCTTCAATCTGTTGTTTCAGGAAAAAATAGATTTTTATTACCTAACAAATATAAATATAGTTGTAATTGTAATGACCAAATACTTACATGTGACTTATCCTAATGTGCATCTGCAATGAAAGCATCTTTCATGGTATAGGAGTCTTACATATTTAGGCTATCTGAAACGAAAACAAAAAAAAATATACATTAATTTCAGCTTTTAATCCAGACTATTTGCTGTTGCAATCAATTCAGAAATTAATGTGATGCATGTTTTATGTCAAATCTTTAATTGGAGACAAGAATTTTTACAAAACCAAGAGTTCCAAATGGTGAAGTTGAAATCATTACTTCGTGTTCCTTATGTCGTAACTACAATCCAATTCCCTTTTCACGAATGTGACATACCGAATTAAGACTATTTACTGGCTTTGTTATAACATGAGCAACATGACGGGTGCCACGTGTGGAGCAGAATCTGCTTACCCTTCCGGAGCACCTGAGATCACCCCAGTTTTTGGTGGGGTTGGTGTTGCTGTTGTACCCCTATTTGTGACATGTTTACCTATTGTGTCTGTTTGTTTTGTTCACACATCGCTGTTAATATAATGGAATTTGATGCTACTGTCATACAAGCCAGAGGTTTAGCTAGCTTTAAAACCAGGTTTAATCCACCATTTTCTACACAAGAAAATGCCTGTACCAAGTCAGGAATATGACAGTTGTTATCCATTCATTTGATGTGTTTGAGCTTTTCATTAGGGGCTTTCCGTTCTGAATTTTCCTTGGAGTTCAGTATTTTTGTGATTTTACTTTTTTCTTATTTAGATATATCTCATTACAGTGAATATTTCAATAAATGAAATGTAGGACCAATTTGTATTAAAAATTTCAAGCTGTTGTTCCAGGAAAAACTGATTTTTATTACCTAACAAATATAAACATAGTTTTAAGAACAATTTTTATGAATAAATACCTACATGTGACTAATCCTAATATGCTATCTGCAATGGAAGCATCTTTCATGGTATAGGAGTCTTACATATTTAGGCTGTATCTGTAACAAAAACAAATATTTGAAATTAGTTTCAGCTTCAAAATCAAAGCTATTTGCTGTTGCAATCAATTCAGAAATTAATGTGATGCATGTTTTATGTCAAATCCTAAATTGGAGACGTATATTTACAATACCTATACATTCTTATTAAAATATACTTCATTAGGATATAAATAAGAATAAAAGAAATTTTAAACCAATTTGTTATAAAGCTTCAATCTGTTGTTTCAGTGAAAACTGATTTTTAATGCCTAACAAATATAAACCTAGTTTAATGAAAAAAATTGTAATGAATAAATACTTACATGTAACTAATCCTAATGTGCTATCTACAATGAAACCATCTTCATTGTCGAAGAGTAACATATTTAGGCTGTATCTGAAAAAAAAAAACAAAAAATTGTCAATTAGTATCACTTTTAAATAGGGAATATTTGCTAGTGCAATCAATTCAGAAATTAATGTGATGCATGTTTTATGTCAAATCCTAAATTGGAGACTACGTATATTTACAATTACTTAACGTATTACAGTAAATATTTGAATAAAAGAAATGTTAGACAAATTTGTAATAAAATTTTAAACGGTTGTTCAAGGGGAAAACTGATTTTTGTTAACTTCCACATATAAAAAGAGTTAAAAGTACAATTATAATGACCAAATACTTACATGATATGTATCTTCGTGTGCTATATACCATGAAAGCATCTTCATTGTCAAGGAGTGCAACATATTTAGTCCGTACCTGTAACAAAAACAAAAATTCTAAATCAGTATCAGCTTTAAATATAGAATATTGATTGTTGCAATTAATACAAAGTTAATATGATGCATTTTTTATGACAAATCCTAATTTGAAGACTAGTATATAAACAATTTCTATACATTATCATTAAAATAATCTTCATAAGAGTATAAATTTGAATAAAAGAAATTTTAAACCAATTTGTAATCAAATCTAATTTAAGCTGTTGTTCCAGGGAAAACTGATTTTTGTTACCTGGAAACCATATAAACATAGTTTAAAGTACAATTAAAAATACCAAATACCTACATGCTACGTATCCAGATGTGTGATCAATCTACCATGAAACCATCTTCATTGTCTAGGAGTGTAACATATTTAGGCTGTATCTGAAAATATCAAAATCGAGTTTAAAATGTCATTTCCAGTCTTAGATTATAGCTAACTGAGTGCGGATTCCAAAAATATATGGTTTCTATACACTTTTGTCCGAAATAAGGGAGATAATTTGTTACTTCCGGTTTGAAAAATATTACTTCTGGTATAATATGATAGGTTACTTGACATGGATTCCAAAAATATATGGTTCTATATACTTTTACATTAAATAAGTACAAAAAATAGCTACTTCCGGTTCACACAAGGTCACTTCTGGTTGGCTTTTTCAAGGTCATATGGCTTGCAACCTAATGCAAGAAGTCCTATGGCTCTATCATTTATAAAAATAAAGTTAATGCTAAGGTCAAAATCTAGAATGTCAAATTTACCAATGACCTTGACCTATATTTCAAGGTCATAAAGTAAGGACCTCAAATCAAAAAATCATAGGTCTCTACTATATATGGCTAATGAGTAATATCACCATACAGCTAGTTTTAAATATGAGAGGGGAGAAAACTCCCATTTTATGTCAACGTACGCGTTCAACCAAAAATCATGTGTTACGACATTTTGCATATAACAATTTTGTAAAAATATTTTGTCAATATCTTATACGGCCTCTGATAATAAGAAATTACAAACCAAAATAAAAAATACCAAAATTTAGAACATGACCTTGACCTAAATTTTCTTTAAGTGGACCAAGGACCTCAAACCAAAACACCCTAGGTCTCTATCATTAATGGTTTACAAGTTACAAATACATAAGGGGGAATAACTCTCATATGGAGTTTTCGTAACGCTTCGATCAAAATGAAACGTAACATTCAGAGGTTATAACGAGTAATTTGGAAAAATAAATTAGTTGGTTTCTTCTAAGGTTGCGAAGAATAAGAAATAACAAGAAAAACAGTGTTCGGGGAGATAACTCTTACATAGAAAAGTATTCCATTAAGCAGTGTCAGTTTCAAAAGCGTATAAACTGTTTGATATCATATACCAAATATAAAAGCGACATCTTGCGAAACAACCAAACAGCGAAGGAAAAAAAAAAAATAATCAGAACAAAAGCATTAGGAAAAGTGGAAAGACCTTATCAGCTTCAAATAGAGACTATTTACTGTTGCAATCAATTATAAATAAATGTCACATATTTTATGTCAAATCCTAAATTGGACTCAAGTATATTTACAAATGCTAGTATGCTACGCATTCATGTTAAAATTTACTTCAATAAGATTATTAATTTGAAAAAAAAAAAATATGTACACTAATTTGAAACAAAATTTTATTTAAGCTGTTGTTCCAGGGAAAACTGATATTTATTACCCAACACAGATATAAAACATAGTCTAAAAGTACAATTGTAATGACTAAATACTTACATGTTAAACATCCTAATGTGCCATGAAACCATCTACATTGTGTGGGAGTGGAACACATCTGGGCTGTATGTGTTACAAAAGAAAAAAATTAAATTAGCATCAGCTTTAGAGAATATCTAATGGCTGTTGAATAAATTAAAAAATTAATGTGATTCACGTTTTATGTCAAAATCTTAAATTACGGACAATTAATTTACAATTACTCTCTCATTCTTATCAAAATATACCACATTTGAAATTCGAATGAAACATATTTTAGACCAATCTGTAATAAAATTTTAAGCTATTGTTTCAGTGAAAACAGATTTTTATTGACTTCCAAATATTAACATAGTTTTAAGTACAATTGTAATGACCAAATACTTACATGTTGACTCTTCCTATATGCCATGAATCCATCTTCTCTGTCTAGGAGTGCAACATATTTAGGCTGTATCTTTAACAAAAACTATAACTTAATATCAATTTTAGAGTCTATTTGCTGTTGCAATTTTTTCAGAATTTAATCTTTTGCATGTTGGACAAGAATATTTATAATTACTATACATTCCATTAAGAATATATTTCATTCTAGTAAAAATTTGACGAAAATATTTTTAGACCAATTTGTAATAAAGTTTCAAATTGGTTGATAATGAAATGGAGCCAGACAAAAAACTAAATACATTTTACCATAAACACAAGTTTTCATCATACTATGTAATCAGCTCTGTTGGGGGATCTGTTTTCACGAGATTAGCGCCCATTAAATTCATCAATGTTATATCAAAATCTAAAAGTTTGCTCTCTGCAGAGGTCTGCTTTTACGAGACCCATTTTAACATAAAGCATCTTCTTGTCAAACTGTTCAGGAAAAAAACGGATTTTTATTACCTAACAAACATAAACATAGTTTTAAGAAAAATTGTAATGACCAAATACCTACATGTGCAACATCCTAATGTGCTATCTACAATGACAGCATCTTTCATGGTATAGGAGTGTTACATATTTAGGCTGTATAATCTGTAACAAAAACAAAAATTATAAATTAAGTTTCCGCTTTAAATCCAGACTTTTTGCTGTTGCAATCAATTTAGAAAATAATGTGATGCATGTTTTATGTTAAATCCCAAATTAGAGAAAAGTATAAAAACAATTACTATATATTCTTAGATATAGAATATATATATATATATATATATTGGCCTACCACTAATGGTTACCCTTGAACTGACCTTATCACAAACTAATACATGTAAACTTAGCAAAAATTCAAAGTCAATAGACCATGACTGAGGGGGCAGAGCCAAATAATCTCCATGGAAATGAAATATGCCAATGCTAATACAACTGCATTCCAAATATCATTGACTTACCACTAGTGGTTCCCCATAAACTGACCTAATCACAAACTGATACATGTATATAAACTAAGCAAAAGTTTCAAAGTCTATAGACCATGACTAAGGGGGCAGGGCCAAATAATCTCCATAGAAATGAGATGTGCCAGTGCTAATACAACTGCATACCAAATATCATTGACCAACCACTAGTGGTTCACCTCACTAGACCTAATCACAAACTAATACATTGTTGATGCCGCCACCGGAAACAGCATACCTATGTCTCGCTTTTTGACTCCGTCAAGGCGAGACAAACGCTGCAAAATTTCCTTAAAATTACCAATTTAGGGGCAGCAACCCAACAATGGGTTGTTAGAGTCATTTGAAAATTTCAAGGCTGATATAGAACTTGACCTAATGAACATGTTTAGCCCATGTCAGATTTGCTCTTAATACTTTAATTTTTGAGATATAAGCCATGATTGCATTGATGAAACAGAAAATAAACCACAAACCCTAAGGATCATTCAGCTTAACTTTAGTTGGAATTGGTTCAGTAGTTTCAGAGGAGATCTTCAAAATAGTCCACACCGTATGGAGGACAATGGACGACATTGACGACGACAGACACCAAGCTATGGCAAAACTAAGTTTAATTTTGGACCCTTTGGACCTTAATGTAGACCAATTTGAAAACGGGACCAAAAATTAAGAATCTAAATACACGGTTAGATTCAGCATATCAAAGAACCCCATTATTTCAATTTTTGATGAAATCAAACCATATCATTATTTGCTTTTATATATAAATGAAAAATAACCAACCTAAAATGGAAAATTCTAAAGAAAAAAAGGAAACCCCCCCTCCCCCTTATGATCCTCAATCCCAGCCTTCCCTTTGTGGTATGGTACCTTGCAGTACAATTTTAGAGAGATCCATACACTTGAACACAAGTTATTGTCTGGAAACTAGAAAAATGCTTGTTTTTTGGCCCCTTTTTGGCCCCAAATTCCTAAAAGTTTAGGGCAATTACCCCCAAACTCAAACCCAGCTTTTCCTTTGTGATATGGAACCTTGTAGTACAATATCATAAAGATCCATACACTTACACACAAGTGATTGTCCCGAAACTAGTAAAATGCTTGTTTTTTGTCCCTTTTTGGCCCCTATTTCCTTGAGGCAATTACCCCCAAAATCAATTTCAGCCTTCCCTTTGTGAAATGGTACCTTGCAAAACAATTTCAGAGAGATCCATACACTTAAACACAAGTTATTGTCTGGAAACTAGAAAAATGCTTATTTTTGGCCCCTTTTCCTAAACGTTTTGGGCAATTACCCCCAAACTCAATTCCAGCTTTCCCTTGTGATATGGAACCTTGTAGTACAATTTCAGAAAGATCCATACACTTACACACAAGTTATTGTCATGAAACTAGGAAAATGCTTGTTTTTGGCCCCTCATTCCTAAAATTTTGAGGCGATTACCCCCAAAATCAATCCCAGCATTCCCTTTGTAATATGGAACCTTGTGGTACAATGTCAGAGAGTTCTATCCACTAACACACAAGTTATTGTCTGGAAGTTACAAAAATGCTTATTTTGGCCCCTAATTCCTTAACTGTTGGTACCATGACCCCCAAAATCAATCCCAACCTTCCTTTTGTGGTATTGAACCTTATGGTAAAATTTCATAGAGATCCATTCACTTAAACTAAAGTTATTGTCACGAAACTAAATGCTTCTTCGAACGACGCAGAGGACATGATAGCATTATACGACGCAAAAAATCAGGTCATCCCATTGTAGACTTAGGCTCCATGTTGAGTCTCGGGCCGTACTTTGACCTATAATAGTTTACAAATTGTGACTTGGATGGAGAGTTGTCACACTGGCACTCATACCACAGCTTATATCTGTTTACAATAGTAACTGCATGAAGACCCCTTATTTTAAAAAATATTTAGTTTTCAAATTGTGAAATTTTTATTTTTACAATCGTCCTGTAGCCTTCTAAAGTAAACAACTATGTTCTATTTTTAGCCATGGCAGCCATGTTGGTTGGATGGCAAGGTCATCAGATACATTTTTCAATCAAAAAGTTAAATTCTGTTTGCCCCAGTAGATTAAGTGGAGAGGATTCTAGTAAATGATTACGGGGGTACAAAAATTTACGATTTTTTTTTTTAAATTTACTATAAAAGGCAATAACTCCTTAAGGGGTCAATTGACAATTTTGGTAGTATGTTTGACCATGGAAGTAAAATGAGTAGGAATAACAACGATGAATTACCATGTTTTAATGACCTGCAGAGCTCTGTACTAAAGTCATATGATTTTATCCAATTATTGTCTCAGCGATTTAAAGACCCCTTTGGTTACTATCTGAGATACCGCAGTTGTAAAATGGCATCTGGAATTTCTTATCAGTCTCATGATTTTATCGAGTACGGTAATTATAAAGCACCTGTGGGAAATCCCTAGTTTATCAATTACAAGGTGGCGCTGCATCATATAAAACTTCTACCTTCAGAAAGAAATCGAATGATGTAACATTTAAACTTGAAAAACGGACGAGAATTGTTTAAACTACATCAGTTGAACATAAAAAATTGTATTTATCTTTGCATATTTTTGCTTTTTACTGTTTCTTTTAAACTGTTCTAAAAGTATTTTCCAATTGAAAGCGGAGCACGATTAAAACAGGTAATAACGATGAAGCGATCAGGTTTCACATAATGTTTAACAAAATAATGTAGACAAATGTAAACATAGAATATTTTACTGTTGAAATGTGCCAAGTTTATCAAGATTTATAAAAAGGATATTTACTTTCAAGTATTTTAGGTTTATGTATTTGTAATAAATGTCATTATTACATTATTGAAACTGGACAATTAAAATCAGGATAATAAGTTCGTAAAACATGTTAAATTTATATAGATTTAAACTAGAGGCTCTCAAGAGCCTGTGTCGCTCACCTGTATTTACTGATGCTTTGGAAATCATGTAAAATAAGGTTAAAATCATAATTAATAGTATTAGATATTAGATATTATAATGATATCTAAGATAATAACAAAAAACTGCAAAATTTTTGTAAAATTACTTACTCAGGGGCAGCAACCCAACAACGGGTTGTTGGATTCATCTGAAAATTTCAGGGCAGATAAATCTAAATCTGATGAACATTTTTGCCACCTGTCAGATTTGCTCTAAAGGCTTTAGTTTCAGAGATATAAACCAAAAACTGCATTTTACCCCTATGTTCTATTTTTAACCAAGTCGGCCATGATGGTTGGAAGGCTTGGTCATCTGACAAATTTTTTAAACTAGATACCCTAATAATGATTATGGCCAAGTATGGTTAAATTTGTCTCAGTAGTTTCAGAGAAGAAGATTTTTGTAAAAGATTACAAAAATTTACGAAAAACTGTTAAAAATTGACTATTAAGGGCAATAACTCCTAAAGGGGTCGACCGACAATTTTGGTCATGACAACTTATTTGTAGATCTTACTTTGCTGAACATTATTGCTGTTTACAGTTTATCCCTATCTATAATAATATTCAAGATAATAACAAAAAACTGCAAAATTTCCTTAAAATTACCAATTCAGGGGCAGCAACCCAACAACGGGTTCTCAGATTTGTCTGAAAATTTCAGGGCAGATAGATCTTGACCTGATAATCAGTTTTACCCTTGTCAGATTTGCTCTAAATGCTTTGGTTTCAGAGATATCAGCCAAAATCTACATTTTACCCCCATGTTCTATTTTTAGCTATGGTGGCCATCTTGGTTGGTTGGCGGGGTCATCGGAGACATTTTTTAAACTAGATACCCTAATGATGATTGTGGCCAAGTTTGGTTAAATTTGGCCCAGTGGTTTCAGAGAAGATTTTTGTAAAAAGCTAACGACGACGACGCACGACGGACACCAAGTGATGAGAAAAAAAAAAAAAAAAAGTGTTAACAATTGAATACTAGTATTAATACAACATTTTACAACAAAAAGAAAAACAACAAAACAAAATGAGCTTGACGCTATCTTTTTAACCACAAATGTACTTTATACATGTTATATGAATTAGTTTATGTTCAAATTAAAGAATAGGTTTAAAATTGTTAATATTTTAATTGACTGGTACATACGAAAGACTGATTATTTGTATTTAAGAAAAGGGGGTCGAAACATATTTTTTGTACAATCATCTTCTTTACTTTCGGAAATGATTCTTAACTATCTTTAAATATTAAAATTTTTGAACATGATCCACCCTTTTTCACCAATTTCATATGTGATAACTATCTGCTTAAACTATCAAGATCAAAAAAGACATAAATAGGAAAAATAGACTAAAATCAACATTGAATGCATGACTCTATTCGGCAGTGTACAGCAGCGGAATGTAACGAATGAACTATTCGGGTTACTTCGTACGTAAATACAACAACAACCGTCTGTTCGTAATATTCTGTGAACACGAAAATGACCAAAAAGTGTCAGTGATTTGATTGATCACATGCCGAGAATCAATCATCATTCCATATCGTAAACTAATTAACGAGTAATCATAAGATAGGCGGTAACGCAGATAAATCTTTGAACTGGCATTGCTGTTATTCCTGTCAATATAATACTTCCATGGTTTGACTTATTTGTAGATCTTACTTTGCTGAAC